AATGAGAAATGAAACCAACTTGAGAGGAATGTTATACTCACCAGGGATTCTGGCCCAGGAATGACGTATTGGGTGCAGTCGAGAACCAATCATCCGCCAATGGAACATCTGTTAGAGGACATATAGACAAACATAACACATACCCTGTACACTCCCTAGCGATCAACTTTTCAACTATCAGTATGACCATATTTTCAACTAATGTTACCCCATAGCCTCATCTAATCACCATTATTAATTGCATCTCTCTGATTGGCCAACGGCCACCGTGAGAAATAATAATGATAATAATTAAGTACAAAGAGTTTGTATGCAAGACAAACACTGGAAGTGTGGAAAACAAAGACTAGAACAGGAACGGACTCGGATGGAGAGCCAAGGATTAATTTAAAGAAAATATAGAGGACCAAGGAACTACAAGTTGCGCGATAATGTCCACTAATACCACCAGTTGCTAAACAATGTTAGCCCGTTAGTTGTAGAACGTCAGTACAGTCGGTCAGTGTCTTTCAATTGTTTTTGCATGAGCTGATTGTTTAGTAACTAGTGGTGTTAGTGGACATTATGGCGTAATTTGTAGTTCATAGTAAAGAAAACAATCAACAGATCAATCAACTGGTACAGTAGTACAAGTTATGCCATAATCTCCACTAACACCACTGGCAGTTACTAAACAATCAGCTCATGCCATAATATTGCACGACACTGAGTCGATTGGTCCATTCTTCTTTCCTATAAATTTATCCCTGGCTCTTCATCCGAGTCCAAACTTGTAGTTCCTTGGTCTTTTTTACAAGTATATTTTCTATAGACCAGGAACGCTGATATTAGAGAGGTTCCGCATAACGTAATTACGTTAGTAAAAACGTAGTCGATCTATGGAAAGTGTTACGTAAACTGCATGCGCATCTGGGTTCCGCCATACAGAGTTTTCAAATCACGTAGCTGCCCTGTGCAACTCCGAACGCGGCAGTGTACGACCAGATCGACATGGGTAGAGAGTCATAAATTTGTATCCCAATCCACTTACGGACCAGCTACGTTATCAGAGCCCTATCTACGTACTCTCCGTAGACAACTTCCCGTAAGTGGAGTGCAAACTCGCGAATTCACGGGTTTTTCCCACCCACTAACGTAAAGTTGCTCAACTTTACGTAGTGTGGAACCTCTCTATTATCACAATAGACTGTAGACTGTGTATAAACATGAGTGCAAGTATTCTCCATTGTTTCTAACAAACAAATAAATCAATACAGAAAACCATCATTACATTCAGATTTTGACAATGGGAAATGGTTAAAGCTCCTGAAATTTAAGGTTTGCTGCGTATTTTACGCATTGACTGCTTTTCCAATTAGTACTGTATGCTTTTAATCCTAATAGTCTTTATGTAGTTTTCAAGCTAAATGTGGAGCATAGCAAACAATTATACTCCTCAGGCCGGTTTAATATCAGATTTTGGAGCTAAATTGGTTTAAAAAAGAATGGAGATGGATATTGTCTGGATTTGGTGGGCACAGAGCTTATAGTACAGGCTTCCTGATAGCGGAAATGCACAATGTACTCACTGTCGGCCTGGCAACGAAGACGTTCTTGCTCCTTCAACTGCCGCTGTTCATAGGTGATGATGTCCGGGAATGCTTCCATCAGCTTCATGAGAATACACACGTGCACATACATATACACCAACACACCCACATACGCATGTACACACACACATGTACACACACACATGTACACACACATGTATGCAAATGCACACACAAACATGCAAACTCATACACACCCACGCGCGCGCGCACGCACACACACACACATTCACACACGCATACACACACACACACATACGCACACACTTAGCTTTGCATAACTTAGGTTCCTTGAGAGGCTAGAAAACTAAAATTATTTTGTAGTCTAGCCAAGGTTGTTCTGGACATTTTACCAAGTGAAATCTAGTTATAGAAATTGTACCAAGTGAAAACAGATATTATCTTAAATGCATTGTTGCGAATGACTGATATCATCTAAAACTTCTTGCTTCATAAGGAGAAGATTACAAACTACAAGTTCATGATATTCAATTTTGATATGATCAAACAAAACACGCACCGTTCTCATTCAAGCAAATTTGTAATTTTGTTTATGAATATTGACAGCAGAGATTCATAGTTACTGAAAACTTTAAAAAATTCTTATTCCGCTCACCATGTTCTCATTCTCCACCAGCATCCTGCAGATCTCTCGGTAGAAAATGGAGAATGGCGAAGAAAAGCAGTGCTGAGCTAACCTGCTGTATAGCACAGTAGATGTGTGACGATGAGATTGTCGGCACCATGCCAACAACACCAGCGAGGCATTCAGCCCACTGGGTCCAGCGGGCGACACTGATTGGGGGCCACCAAGTCGGCTGATTTCCCTCTCACTCACATCTACGCTTGATTGGAGATCGCGCAAGAATGAAGAATCTCGCAGACTCTCCAGGCGATCAGTACATGTGGCAGGAAGCATACTGACATGCGTGGCAGGAACGTGATGAAGATCCTGCACCGAGTCAACGAACACACCGCTGGCGTCCTTGACATCTTTGCTTTGCACACTGCTTGCGGCAAGAATGACGGCTTCGGACGGGTAGGAAGCAACCACTGGACAGATGGCAGCTGGTGAAGCCGATTGCTTGATAAGCTGACGCATGCTGCTCAGGCTGAGGACAGTGCGCTCTACCGAAGTACCACGACTGTATCTCTTTAGTAGGTCAAGGAAGAGAGCTAGAAATAACCAGTGGACGTGGTGAACCACTTGCAGGTTCGTACCGCGACTGGACGTCACTGCAATACAACAGCGCTGACGGTCGGACGAAAACACAATCAGCGCTGTTGTGTGCGGATGCGGGTGGACAATGATGGTGTTCTTGAAGAACATGGGATCAGTACTGGAGAAAAAGCAGGCGGAGTAGTCGTATACACGTGCTTGGCATTGAACAATGAGACCAGATGAGAATGGCACACAGCCATTGCAGGTATACACAGAACCTACCATCACTTGTGAGGTCATGAAGGCTCTGTGCACCTTCAATGGCTGTGTGCACTCGGGAAACAGGGAGAGAGCAAGGATATCCTTCTGATAGCGGATGGACAAGCCGAGCTGTAGAACCATACGCACGCAGAGCGGAGCTTTTTCTCCGACTTTGGCGAATGAAGTCAGTGAACGGACGAACTCCTCTTCACTCATCTTGTATTCCCTGGCAATGCCATCAGGGCGGTGGGGGAAGACGTTGGACGAGTACATAAACCCGATCACGTCCTGCAGGAGCCAGCGAGGCTGATGAACCACCAGATCATTCAGCTCTGGGAATGTGATGACCTTTAGCAGTATCAAAGGCATACCACATGCACACACACACACACACACACACACACACACACACACACACACACACACACACACACACACACACACACACACACACACACACACATACACACACACACACATACACACACACACACACACACACACACACACACACTCACACATCCACACACACACACACACACACACAAACACACAACACACACACCCACATACACACACACACGTACACATAAACACAACAGAAATGTACATCAAGTGCAAAGAAACGTCTATTTCCCTCTCTTATCCGGAACTGGTTTATCAAAAACTCTTGCAAACCAGCCCATTTTCCGGCGAAACGGATTTTTCAGTTCAGTTTTGACGCTTTAATCCGGCACTTGAATTGCGGCTCCCGTAGCGATTTTCTGCAACAAATCGCTCCAACTGTACATAATTATTTCGATTTTATACTCCGACAGTTGTACATCGCATACCTTACCCGTGCACATCTATGTTAGTTTGGTGAGTGCATGACATGCATGAACTAACTTATCATGTAGCATTCTACACATGTAACATACCCTTGCAACTATCCTATGCATTGTATAGACATGCATTCCACAAAGTAATTAGATTGACACAGAAATCTCTGTGTTTTGACTTTTAACACAACCATGTTTGTAGGTGGGCCGGGTTGGAGAGCAGGATTTTATAATCCAGCACGCTTGTTTATCCAGCAGAAAATGCTGCTGCAAAAGGTGGCGGATTAGAGAGGGACAACTGAAGTTAAATTTTGACTCCCAATATCTATTGTATAAAGCTCAAATATACAACCTAACGGCCTATTGGTGTGCATACAGAAACCAGTTTTGGGTTACATTTTGCAGTGGACTTCAGTATTTTCCATCAATTCTTGGCAAACTGCCAATTTTTTCTTATGTGGGCATATAGTTTCTCAACATGATGTCTCTAGTTCTTACTCATCATACACAAACAACTACAAGTTCTCTCTTTCCAGAAGGCAACAATCTCCTCAATCGAGCTTCATTAGCTAGAGCACCATGGGGGTTTTGTGTGTGTGTGTGTGTGTGCGTGCGTGCGTGCGTGCGTGTGTATGGTTCATGAGGTTCTCGGAGAAACACAAACCAAATTGGCAGGGTGACATGTTTGTCAACTCATCGGAGTTGGGCGAAGACATTAGCGAAATCTAGAATGTAACACATGGTACAGGTCATAAGGGCACCCAGCCGGCAAAGTTTCAAAACCTTGAAGTCATAATGGGCTTTGAGAATAGCAAACCTCCATGTGAACAAGGAAATTCAAATTCAAACCTCGATCATTTCTGTGTACCATACTAAATGAACACACAGAAATTCAACATCACATGTCAACATTGCTATACATGCATTGCTCTTACATATCCGTAAGCAGTCAGGACGCGTACAAAGCTGTCGATCTGCTCAGTGAGTCGTTTCGGCAGTGCCTCTTTGGTTCCTTGGATTGCCTTCTTGAATGCCGCAACGAACTCGGCTCTTGAACAGTATGGATTGGGCATCGATGCCTGAACCTCATCCAAATGCTTCCGAGCCTTCTGCAGCAAACGCGGTTGCTTTGGGGACTTCTGCAGACAAAGTTGAAATAGTACGAAATAGAGGCAGCAGCGACTTTGGCAATACTTTAATAGGAAAGAGTTTGCTTGCTATTAGGGAGTTCGCGCTTTTCCCCCCACTTGACTTTACAATTGATTGACTCACAACAGCCAGAGGAGGAACGGGAAATGGGCAAGGTTGGGGGGGGGGGGGAGGTGGATTGGCTGCTCGACCAGCTACTCGAGTAACACTCAGGGCAGAGAAAAATGATCAAAATTGGGAAATAAGAAATCTTACCGCCAACACTCGATTGATCAAGTGCATGAATTCACTTCTTAGATCATTCATGCTGGAACTGTTGGACTTTCTAGCGTCCACTACTCTCACAATGGAGAGATCCAAGCGCTGAGAGAATGATTTCATTCCCCTCCTTATGGCCTTCTCCACTTCAATGCGCTTTTCTGGTGTTAGCTGGTCAGCTCGTGTGGCAATTGCGATGACATCAAGTTTCTCCGCCTGTTGCAGATCTTCCTGGTGGTGGTGGTGCTGCTGCTGCTGTTCTTGTTCTTGTTGCACAGTCGGTAGAGAACCTGATAATGCAAGAAGACAAAGTGATGCAATTGCTAATGACAAGGAATACCAGTCCATGAATACACAATTAGTCAATCCAAGAAAGCAAAGTATTCCCTTTTCTTTCTTGTATGCCAGAATGGAGAAGTTAGTAAGTCTCTTCATCCTAAGTTCATGTCTTGTAATAACTAGTTTGAATGATATGGGCACCAGAGCAGACTGATGATCAACTGTTTGTCGTTTTTGGCATGTTTTCTACTGAGAAACCCTGTGATTGAACAGGACACTCGAAGAGTTTGTGCCTTTCATATTAACTTTGTGGCTGCTGGCAGGGATCTAGTTGCAGTATTCAAGATTGGCTGAATGGATCACGTGACAGGCAAGAAAATTATCCATTGCTATCCACTTACCATGATCAGGTGCAGACAGGCGACAAACTATATTGGCGGCAGTTGCACCGACAGTCTGTGTGATCTCATCAACACACTCTGTGCCGTCCACCACTATTGCGGCAACAGATGGTGCTGTCATGGCAACCGTGAATATGTCATGTGACTCGGTATAATGTTCTTGACCAGCAAAGTCGCGAAAATGCACCTTCACCTGCGATTGGTTGTAAATGGTTTCTTCAATTCCCTATAATTATGGAACAGATAAAACAAAATTAATGAGCAAGAGAACATTGTATGAATCATACCCAGCTCACCACAATCCCACTGTTCTACAGCAACAGTATACCGTACTTACGCAACAGTATACCGTACTCGCGTGCAAAGAAGGCAAAAAACCAACCCTAATGTTTCCTGTAAACTATCATGACTCAGCAGAAACAGCAACAAGATCTACGATTTTGATCCTGAAACCACCAGGAAGGTGACATGGACAATTAAATTAGCAAAAGAAAACCAAACTTGGCGGCACTATTCCTGAGAGGGCTCTAATCGCGCCAGTACGGTATTTCTGGTAGTAATACTATGTGTATATAACATACATAGCAGTAGAGTCATTTATTGATAGAAATACAACCAATCGGCAACCGATAATCACAGTACCTTTAGTCATGTATATCTCATTCCACGATGACTTTATCAGTTATATATTCACAATTGTCTGGGGGGTAATTTGTAGATTGCTGATGCAATCTTCATTTGGTCTGTCATTTCTTAGTACTGGTAGATTTGTCTTGTGACCAGATAAGACCACACAACACTTGCAGACACCAGCATGAACATTTCACCAGTCACTCTTCCCGGCTCTGTTTACCTCTCTTTCTCCTTGTGACTGGCTTAGCGTGGTTTTTTGACAGTTTGGTCCTGTAGGGTTCATCATACCTACATTCTGCACTTTCCCGTTCATGTTGATTTGTGTTTATATAGAATGAAACAAAACTGACCACTAACGATTTGGACTAACAATGCATTCATCCAAATTTCAATAGGTAGCACTTTGTGCATTCTACTTTTTTGAATCGCTTTCAACTCACCTTTGTTCGGGATGCTAAATCTTTTGCCTTCGTGTCCGGTTGATTCTCCTTGCGTAGCCGTTTATTGAAGAAACCTTCTGCTGTGAAGGATGCAATGAAGGTAGATTTTCCTGAACCTTCTACTCCACACACGTTGGCAATCAGTTCAGTAGGATCAGTGTAACCCTCAACACCAAACTCTTCACGTATCAAGCTGGTCTGGAGCATACAAATGCAGTACACAACAACAATACCCAAAGTATGTAAGTTGAACACTGTTTAGAACTACAGTGTTGCTCGGTGAAATTCAACCAAAATTGCAAAGCCGGCGGCGCCCTCGATCAGTTGTGATTATACAAGTAGTATTGCGGATATTTACATGCAGCTGCATTCGTGCCATTTCCAGGACACCCAGGGTCGTGCAAGTTGAGATTGCCAAATATGGACACGGGTCGAATTTCACAGAGCGCAACTGTAGATATTACAGTATATCCACACAGCTGGACATACATGTACACTAGACACTAGACACCATCTTACATCTGACAGTAGGCTAGTTGCTGTCAGGTTGTTCAATGTAACCAGTATTTCAACCCAATTATTAGGGCAATTGATGTACGAGTCCATAGTAGGCTCAGGGAGCACACTCGTATAGTGTCAATCACCATAATCACACACAACTCAACACAGTCTGTCCAGGAATTCAATGAGATTTTAGAGGAGAATTTCCCACATTAGCTATCCACATTCTGTGTCGGTGCCCGCAGCAGAAATGAATGATCACTAATCTGACTGCTCTGCTTGCTACAACACCGACAGTACTAGAAGAGAAATATGTCTCCAGTTTTGGCTTCCACCAAATGGTGACATTCGACACTCATTGCACCCCATATATCTTGTCATTGTATAGTGACTCTGTCGTCCCTTGCGATCCTGATCTACTCTTCCCCGTGACCTCTGTTGTTACTCTTGGATCATCTGCTCTTAGCCAGAACATTTCAATAGCCAATTTCAGTGCCTACCACTGCTGGTGATTGTGAGCAATCAGCTCCGACCAGGTATCCCATTGCTGTGACAATACAATTATAGGGTTATCCCTGAGTGAGTTGCGGGTTCTATCAATACATGGCTGTCAATTGTTGCCTGGAGACCCGAATGACGATCAACAGGGACATTGATAGTGATCTTGCCAGCTCTCTGTCCATCATTCACTTCATCATTGCAATGTTTTTGAGTGAATTCATCAAAAAATCTAGAAAGACCTCTCCCATTCTTTTTCTCTCTTTCACCCTCACTTGCATTACCTCTTCACTGCTTTTCATTCTTTCACTGCTTTTCGTTCTTTCACTGCTTTTCGTTCTTTCACTGCTTTTCGTTCTTTCACTGCTTTTCGTTCCTTCTCTCTCATCCTCCCTCTCGTTCCCTACTCGAATTGTGCGTGTTGATGTAACGCAATCTTGGGCTTCTCCTGTTCTCTCCTGTCTCCAATAAGGATCAATGCTACTCCAACCGCCCGCCACCCACCACCACACCTACCCTACCCACCCCCACAACCCCGCCGTTAGCATGTGAGATGTAACTATTACTTGTTATCATGCTGTTTGCGCTGAACGTCTCCTCATTGGCCTTCCCTAACCTGAGCTTTCCACCTTGGAACGTTATTGGCTTTTCGCTTTGGAGATATGTTGGACCTAGGTGTCAGAGTGTTGAATGTCTCAGAATCTTGTCAGTCTTGTGCATTGTCACAGCTTCTAACTGTATTTCTATTTGATCTGGTTACATCGGTAGGTCATTACTCCCAACTCGTACCAATTATTCATTCCTGTCATCCACAAGCAAAGAGTTAGTAATCCTATAATTTTAACGACATGTTTCACCTTAATCAAGTCCAATGCTTGCGTTTTTCCGTAGGTTTGAGCTATCTTTCTGGCTTCCTCCACAATCTCCTTTGCCTGGATTGGAAACATAGAACCAAAATTGGTATAGCGATACACTCTTCAGTGTCATCAATTTCACTAATCACAATAACCATCACATATCCAAAATGCCACAGAAAAACACCCGCCATTTTACTTCTTACACCGTATATAGCACAGGTACACAGTAAGTAATGATAGAACATTCTGTCACTGCTCAATACTTAACATCATGCTCAAAAGAAGTTGACTAAAGTGAAGGGTAAACAGAGATGCACTATACACGATGATGTCACTCAACACACCTTGAAGTAGACAGTGACGAAATAGACTAGAGAAAAACGCATGCTAATCTTTTCTTTTCTAAGCACTCGCAGACTCCATTGCAGCCATTCACACATTATAGGGTACCTCACTTCAAACTCTCCAACTACGGTCTCTTCGCTGCATATGTTCACTTCACTTCCAAAAAAAACAAATAATATTAGATATAAATTGAATGCACCAAATTTTCGGGCATGGCCCATCTTCAGGGTGAAAAAGAAAACCATTCAACTAAAGCTAACAAAAACTGAAACGAGTATATATGCTGCGTGGTGCGGTAGTGCTGGAAATCGTTGTATGTGTGAAGGGTAGCAGCAATGGTGAAGTGTGTTGGTAGAAAGGGAAGGAGCGAAAGAGACCAGTGGAGAGCTGTGTCTGTAAGTGTGAATATGTGTTAGTGCGATGTGAAGGGAAAGCACGAGAAGTGTGGTTACCAGCAGCAATGGTGAAGTGTGTTGGTAGAAAGTGAAGGAGCCAAGTGGAGAGCTGTGTCTGTAAGTGTGAATATGTGTTAGTGACATGGAGAATAGAATGCAAAGCATCAATGTAGTTGGGTCCATGGGTGTGAAGACAAAGATGACGACAACTATTTGCTAAGCACTATATAACCATATAACCAGCTAGCACACATAAACATCAAATATTAAATATTATCATAATATATTTGCAACATCACAGTCTACCACAATTTACAACACCAGCATCTAACACAATAATTTCACACTGTGTCCAGCAGTCTCCAGCCACGATCCCTGTTAACACTTGGGCGTTTATCACGAATGAACATTGCTTCACGTATACGACGATTCACAAGGGACGACTGCTTGGCGAGAATTGATGCGTTGGTGATGGGTGTAGATGTGATTGCTTGTTGTGGGTGGTGTTCTGCATAGTGTTCTCCCCATGGCGTCTCCAGCGCTTGCGCTTTGGCCTCTCTGCAATGCTCCTCAAATCTCTTCCTTGCAGTTCGCTCGGTCTCGCCAACGTACTCCTGGGCGCAAAGTGCACATAACATCGAGTAGATAACATCCTGAGACAAACATTGACCACTCTCCATACCAGCATCACATGCACGACATTCAACTGGTCGCCCCCTCCCTCTTCTCTTCTTATACACTTCCTTCGGGCATTCAGGACGGGACAATGATGACGATACCAACATGTCCCTTAATGACCGACCGGACTGGAACACCACACGCACATCCTTACTGAAAGACCTCACCGTACGACGAACATCACGTGCCAAACGATCATTGACGAAGGGCAGTTTGATGATGGATGTGTACGATTGTTGTCGTTGTCTGGTGGATGATGGTCTTGGTGTGCTTGCATGGTGCTTGGCTGCTTGAATAGCGTGTTGTGGGTAGTCGTTGTCTCGTAGTAATGTCTCGATCTTCTTCTCTCACCGCTCCCTCCCCCTGTCTGTTGACGCGTTGCTATTTGCGCGCCGAAACTGCTCCTGGGCAACCGAACGCTTCACCCCCAATGGCAATGAAGACTCGTACGATAGATGGACACCACTATGACTGGGCTTAACGAACAACTCCCACTGCACAACACCACTCGCCACAGAGATAGACAAGTCGAGGTAGCTGACTGTGTGCGAGACATTCTGCTGGGTGTGTTCTACTGTGAAGCGTATGTCTGCGTGTCTGCTGCTCAAGTACTGCACGAACTCCATCAACTTGACAAGACCATGACACCATACTACCAGACAATCATCGATGTAGCGACGATACAAGCGAGGCTTCCACGGAAACATAGCCATCGCCTCCGACTCGAGCTTCGACATGAAAATGATTGCCATTTGGGGTGCGAGATGGTTGCCCATTGCCAGGCCTTTCCGCTGCCGGTACTGGACACCGTCAAATTCGAAGTAGTTGGACGATAACACGACTGACAGGAGCTCCCGAACATCCGACAGTGACAGGTGAAACATATCTACTTCCTTCCGATGCAACTCCAAGAACTCCATGACGACATCAATGCTCTCGACAACTGGTATGTTAGAATACAACGAGACAACATCCAGTGAGGCAATGATACAATCATCGGGAAGAACACCAACATCACTCAACACGTCAATACACTCCTTTGTACTGGTCAAATGTGCTGGAACGAACTTCAACAACTGATTAAGGATACGTTCCAGTAACAAGGAGACATTATCCATTGACGAACCGCTCGTAGACACAACTGGGCGCAGCGGAAGACCTGGCTTGTGGTCTTTGGGTAGACCGTAGAATTGGCTCAGTCGTGAGTTATGTGGGAGAATGGCTTTGGCGAGTGGTTGTGGTAGCTTGTGTTGGGTGATCTCAGCGACTTTCTTGCGTGTGTGTTTGTCAAGGTCTTCTACCTTCACGTCACAGCGCTCATAACTATCCCGACACTCCAACATGACATTCGCTTTCTGTACATAACTGTCACGAGACATCACTACAAATCCCTTACTCTTGTCAGATGGCTTAACCACGATTCCTTCATTCCTCCGTAAGGTGGAGAGGGCCTCCTTCTCCCTTCTCGTTAGTTGACGTCCGTTATTGGAGGTATTGATGTCGGCCTCTCTCTTGTACAGTCTCATGATGTTTCCCTTCAGTCTCCTTAATCCGTTTTCCTTCTCATCATCCATGCTTGGCGCTTGCTTGGTCGTGGTTGCAATCTTTCTCAGTCTCGTGTCATTGTCTAGATGTCGCACGGGCCTCCCCGTAACCGTCTGATGAGAAGCTGCTTGCGTCCGGTTTTTCTCCGCCTCTTCTTTCCACCTCAGACCGAACGCCAGTCTCTCCACACCCACCTCCGCCTGCTGTACTGTTGACTTCGTCACGCGTCTGCCAGGAATAAACTTTGGTCCGAGCTCCATCACCTTTCTCGCTACCTCTGGCACCTCGCTCTCCACCGCTTCCTCAATCACAACTCTATTTCTCCGATTCTGGGCGTCCATAGCTGGGGCCTGCTCCGCCAATGCCTCCCTACTCCTCACCAAACAGTCCAACTTCCTTCTCAGTCGCCTCGTCTCGTCCTCCCGTACACACTCGCTCATTTGACTGCAATGGCCTGTCACCCATGTCGCTTTGCCTGGCAACATCCTCCTGTGGACTTCCCATCGCAGAGATGCTTGCCTGTCTTTGAGTCGTCTTATGCAGGTGAACTTGTCCTTTATGATTTGATTCAGAACTAGTTGCTGGAAACGGGTCTCTTGTTTGGCAATGGTGGCTCCAAAAAGATGCGTAGCCTTCGAACAGTTCCTAATACATCCAGGAATAACACCATTATGTCGACAGGCTGTAAGGAATTTGACAGAACACCTACTCTTAGACAACGACACACTACATTTCACCAATTCCCAGGGGAGAGTGCGATCTGGACCAACAGGATAAACTTTTCTAAGCACTCGCAGACTCCATTGCAGCCATTCACACATTATAGGGTACCTCACTTCAAACTCTCCAACTACGGTCTCTTCGCTGCATATGTTCACTTCACTTCCAAAAAAAATGTTGGTATCGTCATCATTGTCCCGTCCTGAATGCCCGAAGGAAGTGTATAAGAAGAGAAGAGGGAGGGGGCGACCAGTTGAATGTCGTGCATGTGATGCTGGTATGGAGAGTGGTCAATGTTTGTCTCAGGATGTTATCTACTCGATGTTATGTGCACTTTGCGCCCAGGAGTACGTTGGCGAGACCGAGCGAACTGCAAGGAAGAGATGTGAGGAGCATTGCAGAGAGGCCAAAGCGCAAGCGCTGGAGACGCCATGGGGAGAACACTATGCAGAACACCACCCACAACAAGCAATCACATCTACACCCATCACCAACGCATCAATTCTCGCCAAGCAGTCGTCCCTTGTGAATCGTCGTATACGTGAAGCAATGTTCATTCGTGATAAACGCCCAAGTGTTAACAGGGATCGTGGCTGGAGACTGCTGGACACAGTGTGAAATTATTGTGTTAGATGCTGGTGTTGTAAATTGTGGTAGACTGTGATGTTGCGAATATATTATGATAATATTTGATATTTGATGTTTATGTGTGCTAGCTGGTTATATGGTTATATAGTGCTTAGCAAATAGTTGTCGTCATCTTTGTCTTCACACCCATGGACCCAACTACATTGATGCTTTGCATTCTATTCTCCATGTCACTAACACATATTCACACTTACAGACACAGCTCTCCACTTGGCTCCTTCACTTTCTACCAACACACTTCACCATTGCTGCTGGTAACCACACTTCTCGTGCTTTCCCTTCACATCGCACTAACACATATTCACACTTACAGACACAGCTCTCCACTGGTCTCTTTTGCTCCTTCCCTTTCTACCAACACACTTCACCATTGCTGCTACCCTTCACACATACAAAGATTTCCAGCACTACCGCACCACGCAGCATATATACTCGTTTCAGTTTTTGTTAGCTTTAGTTGAATGGTTTTCTTTTTCACCCTGAAGATGGGCCATGCCCGAAAATTTGGTGCATTCAATTTATATCTAATGTTATTTGTTTTTTTTGGAAGTGAAGTGAACATATGCAGCGAAGAGACCGTAGTTGGAGAGTTTGAAGTGAGGTACCCTCTAATCTTTTCTAACGCATTTAATCTGCAGAAAGTACTCTTTCATCATATTCCAACCGGCTTCCATAGAGATCGTCCATGTTATACAACCTTATGTAAAGCTACGTGTTTCAGGAACAACAATCATAATATATATCAAACTGATAAGAACTTGTACAGGTGAGGGGGGGGGGGAGTAGTTCCAGAGCAAAGGTTTTCACAGTAACCGAGCATGTTTTCACAGACAAAACTGGTAGACCTATTCATAACACAACCTACTTTTTTCAACTCTTACCTCATCATATGCTAGCTTGGTCCAGGTGACTTCCAGCAAGTAGGGTACACAACCTGCTCCCACCCAGTACACTGCATCACCAAGAGGAGTTCTCCCATCCTAAACACAGCCATAGCAGCAACAACCAAACCGACATGTTGATATCACAAGTACCTGTACTCTACTGGAATTGATGACAATTGCCATATCGTGGAATGGATGGATCCTGTGCGGTCAACATCAAGCAATCCTTTCCCATATCTCTGAAAGCAATGTTGCCATCTATGACCAGAACGATCCACAATAATTGTACTGTATTCTCGTGCTCTACAGTTATGTAAAAAGGTGACGTGGAGACAATAATCTTAATAATGCAATGAATAAAACTATATGCGCATTCATATCACAACCATAGCGACGAAAAAAGTGTTCCAGAACATTTTCTTGTCACAATTATCAATGGAATTCGTGAGGAAAGACAATGATGAAACTACAATAGGATTTATACACTTGGAGTGAAACAACATGAGGATACACGAATTCGACGGGTTCGCGTACCGGGCAGGTCAAGAACAAGGAGTCGTGCAACTCCCTGGTCAAGAACCACCTTTCCGCTTCCGTGGGACGCCACCACCCCATGATCAGGCGTCAGATGCGGCTCCTAAACGGTGGGGGAGGATAGATCAGATCCACCAACCATAGGCCCAAGGCCTAAATCCCATTTGCCACATCCATGTTTTACTTATGCCAGGCCACGAGTTCCCAATTAACTGTGGGTCGCAGCATGGTTGGAAAAATCCTTCCGCTTCCAAGCAGGACTTGAACCTGGTACCTCTCGTTTCTCAATCATGGTCTTTGACCAACTCACTGTGCCGATACAAGAATAGTAAGAAAAATTGCACAAACTTCGGAACAATTTGCACTGGTAATAAAAACTATATAGGTGAGAAATGATAGGAAATTCAGCAAGTGCAGTGTGGCAATGTACAGGCATGTTCAAGTGTATGTGAGTGTGAATGTAATGGAGGAGTGTAAGTGCGGTGACATTTTCTTTCTGTTTACAAAGATTTGGGTCACGAATGCGAACGTCCTGGAATACTTTATTCGTCGCTATGGTTGTGATATGAGTGCACATCAAGTTTTATTCTCTACAGTTATAATGTTAATTATTATTTGCTGTGTTTTCTAACAGAAACCATTCTAACAGTATTTTGCAGATATACATGGGAGTCGGTAGGTCATTACACATAGAATAATTGCTGTCTGTATAAGAGCTGCAAGCCGCATGATGAACTGGAAGATTGCAACGGGAAACCATGCGAATCCTCCAGGTGCGCATGAAGCACAGAATCTGCCTGATTGCCGAATGGGTGGCCAGAGAGCAAAATGGACTCGCGAACTATTATTCGAAAATAGTTGACACAGATGACTCGGCTGTTTTTGAACATATCGAGCGTTTGTGAGGTCCCCATACACTAGATTGCTTCACAAGTCTGAGGACGAAACAGATAAAGCATTTCTGCATTCATGGTGGTGGAATCCGGGATGTGATGAGATCGATGCTTTTATGGTTGATAGGTCAACAGAAATTGTGTGGCTTACACCACCGTTCCACCTAATACCCAGGGTTTTGAGAATCGTAAAAATGTTCTGCAGCCATGGCACATAATGCTACCCCACAAGGAAAGCACGTTTCTCGAAGGTACCTGCCCTCACAACTTGCTGGGGGTGGGGCAAGCATTAATTTTCAGAAATGCTGGCTTTAAGACTGTGCATGAGGATTAACAGTTGCTGATTTGTGTACTGACACAATTGCTATGGCTGTGTGGCGCGAACACATGTGAGTGCACGGTGCGCGAGGCATTGTCCTATGTTGGTGTTCAGGGAACATCGTTGCCTGCAGGCAGGAGGCAGATGCCGCTGACAATGTCATTGCTCGCAAGGTGGGTGGATGCTGTTGCTGGTGATGCCAATGACGATGTCGTAGCCCGCAGGGCGGGAAGATGCTGCTACTCATGCTGTTGCTGACCAACATGGTGGCTCAGAGTCCCCATTGGTAATGAGCGCGTAATTCTCTTCAAGTGATGCTGATAGCTGCTGTAGACGCTGAAGCCAATGCTAATGCTGACGACCGCGCTGACAGGCTCCTCACATTATGATCTTGTGTTCATGCCTAGAGCTGAGGGCGGTTCAAACGCAGCCAACCCAGAAACTCATGAACTTATCCAGGAAGATTACAGAAGTCATGCTGGCGAGTAGGGCGCTGGGAACGGTGACCAAGTATTTGTCAGCATTTCAGCGCTGGCAAGAGTGGGCTAGCAGACAAGGGATCCCGAGTGTTCTTTTCTTCTTGCTGTTGCTGCTGTCCCCGCAGAAGAGAGGGTTGATTGTGGTTGTTGATGTGTGTGTGTGTGTGTGTGTGTGTGTGTGTGTGTGTGTGTGTGTATGTATGTATGTATGACTTGGCGAAGCGCAGCGGCATGCCAGCCTCGCTGGAGGAGGCCATTCGTGCGAATCGCCTGCGATGGCTTGGTCATCTCGCAAGGATGGACGACACCAGGTTGCCAAAGCAGATCCTGTTTGCAGAGGGCACTAACACGCGGCCCCGCCATGGACCCAAGCGTCGTTGGAGAGATGTGGCAGCTTCAGACCTGCGTGCGACCGGTATACCTGCAGCAGTACGGCATACATCACCACACGTCCGCAGGGCAATGACCTCGCCGAGCGTACGGTCAGAATCAGTCAAGTCGCTACTAGTAAAAGCGTTTCAGCTTTATGGCGCGCTGCTAAGCTATTGCTCAACACCCCTCGAATGCAGGTTCAGCCCAGCATAGCTTCTCATGGGCCACCATCTACAGTCCCAGACAAAACTCAGCTCCTCACGGTGCGAAAAATTGCAATTGCGGAACATGCTTTTCGTGCTTTTTCCTTCAACATGACACTGCGCAACGATCAAAACCCCACACTGTGATGGCATAGATTGCCGCATGTGTGGCTAGCAGGTTACCGGGTCCCCAGCTTCGCCAAACTACGGACATTGGTAGACAGCAGAGCCGTGAGTATGCCTATGATTCTAATGACTACACCGGGGAGTCGCAACTCTCGAGTAAAAGCCACGACTATCTGGTCTACACTATACTAGCACTATGACTCGTTGATTGTCAAGATTACAAGCATTGAGTGCTGCTACATACAGTCAACTTCGTTTATAACGACACTCGGCGGGGCATCAAAAAGGTGTCCTTATTCGCGAAGTTTCGTTATACACGAAGTCTCATTATATGTATTACAGTTGGAAGGGACTTTGCTCTGGGCATGGAAATGCTGTCGTTATTCGCGAATTGTCGTTATATCCGCAGTCGTTATTAGCGAAGTTGACTGTACTTCCTCCGCATCATTAAAATTGTCACTTCGCACATCGCTATGTTTGTGACTTGGCTCATCTTAGTCAGATAGTCCGAATCTCTGTTTTCTGTGTTCGAACATTGGTGCGACCCTTCCTGCGCAATGTCTACTTGTTACTGAAGCCGTGGTGGTCTCGGACTTTGTCGGAGCTCTCTTTCGCACCAAGCAAATTCATTGCGCTTCGCACAAGTCCGCCCCAGAGCGCATATCGTTTTTTTGGAGCTCGTGCCGTCCCACATCGTTCGCGTGGGCATTTATCAAAGCTGCAAGCTCGAGTGTAAGTGTAAGACTCCTGGTATCTCTCCTGAATATGAAATGCTGAGGTTGACAATGGCAAGAACAAAGTGTTCTCAAATTCCTAAAATGTGGTACTTGTGGCGCATGTTGCTGCGAAGGTAGCAGGTCTGAAAACACCGACAAAATCAGCGAAGCGCTTGCCAAGGAAAGAAGGTGCGGAACTGCTTACCCTATCCCGCTGGAAGGTCGTTACAGTGTACTTGAAAAATGCTAGCTTGTCTTCATCGCCTGCCACCTGGAGACATGGATCGCTTGAAAACGAGGTTTCTTGACCTGAATTTGAACGTGCGTCTTGTTCAGCGTATTGTTGAGAGCTGAGAGGTCTGTCTCAAACTCTGATGAAGACGTCCATCTTAGCTGCAAGAGCAGCGAAGCGGGAGGCCACAAACTAAAGCTTGGTCCATTGACAATGCTTTGCCTCAATTTCTAGCTGATTTCTTTGCCTTTCTAGTGTAGAAAACAATTTGGAAAAATCGCTGTGGGAAGTGACAGTTTTAATGACGCGTAGGAAGTACATGTATATGCACTAGTGTTGCACGCTCACCGGTGCACTCACTAAACTGCATTGAAAACATCATTGCAAAGAGGTGCGTTTAGCACATTAGTGGGGTTTCCGGGCAACAGGAACCTACCCCATGCGTACGCGCCTGCACTGATTTGCCAAAGGTGCACACTCTTTGCTTATAGACTCGTGACTATTACAGTTCAAGAGATTTCTTAACTCACTTTGTCCTCTACGGAGACCATGTCGGGCTGGACATCTAGTAGATACTTGACGACTTCCAGATGTCCATTCCCAGCAGCGTCATGAACAGGAAGGTCACCAACCTGTGTGCAGGTAAAAACAAGATCAGACATTCATATATGCAATCTATCTGCAGTCTGTTTCTTATATAATATGATGCGCAATCTTCTGCGAGTCATGGGATTTAAATGTAGGCTACTCTGATTGCTCAATTGGCAATGTTCCTCTAAGCTAAGTCTGGAAAAAACAATTGAACACATTAGCATCTCACGATACACGACAGTGGCTTCTAAACACACACACACACGCCCGCGCACACACACACACACACACACACACACACTCACTCAAAAATCCTGCAATGGAAAAATGGCACTTAGGGAATGTACCTTGCTACTACCAAATAAAACCATTACTTTCTGGCATTGAGAATGGTCTATTACACAAATAAAACCATTACTTTCTGGCATTAAGAATGGTCTATTACACAAATAAAACCATTACTTTCTGGCATTGAGAATGGTCTATTACACAAATAAAACCATTACTTTCTGGCATTGAGAATGGTCTATTACACAAATAAAACCATTACTTTCTGGCATTGAGAATGGTCTATTACACAAATAAAGCCATTACTTTCTGACATTGAGAATGGTCTATTACACAAATAAAGGCATGGATAGTCTACGTACATAACTCCTTTGAACTGCAATGTACACATAATCTATCACACTACATGTCTGCATTGATATCAGACCAGGTGTGTTTGAAACTGACTGGACTAGGAAACATGTGACAATGCTACATTGCTACTCCAAAATGTACTTCTCAATACACATTATGGTTGAATGAATTTACCATGTTACGCTCGACCGGCACCAGTCAATTATCTCGTCATACTCTCCACCCATAACCTCAGAATGATTATCATGCTTCTTGCATGAAATGGTGTTCTAGGATGGTAAGTTTCACCCATGTTCCTGACAACATGGTTCACATTCCCTACAGCCTACCAGAGTACTTTACTCACCATCACCAACTATCCACACACTGTCTTCTATTCTACAAGTAATCTCAGCATCGGTTCAAAAATGAGCGCGTACATGTCACGGACATCGTATAATAATCCATGGGTGTCGATATTTGTGGTAATAAAATTTTTATTTATGGTTATGAGTTTCCAATCTGAAACAGACACCAATGTGGTTCACCAGCATAAATGCGGTTGCTGAACAGGCAAAGTCTGGCATCTCTGACTAATACATGAGTCAATATTGAATCATCCTTCAATGTACAGGTAGAGAGGTGTGCAACTTACCGAATCAGTCTTGTCTACCTTGGCTTTACACTTGACAAGGTGCTTGGCAATATCGATGTAACCCTTCATACATGCTCTATGTAGTGGCGTGCACCTCCATGAATCCTAGTAAGAACAACATAGGTAGTGTAGGCATGCGTATACCCACACACACCACATATGTACAGACCGCCAGCCCAACAACATGTACACACAAATACACGCACACGCGTACGAACACACGCACACACACAGAACACACACACACACGCACACACACACGCGCAGAACACACACACACACATACACATACACACACATACAGACAGACAGACATATACACATACTTGTACTTGTTGCTCACTGCCAAAACAGGTCACGTGGATCTCCCCGGGAGAGGGGAGAGAGACTCGAAAGGAATCTTGGAAAGATGACTCAATTGGCTATTGAACCACCCAACGGCCGAAACCCCCTGAAATCCCCAAAACTCTGGGTGGACTTGAAAATGATCCCACTTATGGGCTCACCACACCTCAGTAAGTGGGCGAGGAAAAGGTGCAGAAAAAGCATTGACGGCATCAGGGTATCCGCCCCGTGATCCAACTGCATTTACCCCTGCCCCCAGTGAAGGTAATACTTGCAACTAGTGTGGGTCGCTAAATCAGAGTGGATCTGATATAGGCTTAACTAGCACCATTGATTACACAAGAGTTAATCTAGCCAGAAGCAGTCCATGGTTGACAGGTATGTACAGGTCCTCCCTCGTTAGTAGATAATCTCTGGGCCGTCGAGAAAGTTATCTTATAACGAGACTTATCTATACTTCAAATAGAAAAAAATTCCTCCGTATACAAAAACTTCGTGACTTTTTAACAGTGTTTTTAGCAAGAACCTGCTCAACGAACCGCGCCAAAGGCTGTCATCGACAACCCACATTCATGTCGAGGTAAGTTTGGTTGATCCCGAACAGATTCTCCACGGCAGTCATGCTCGCACGGCAAGATGAAACATTTCAGTCGTCGTGCAACCAGCGCAGACTTCGGATCAGAATGTTGACGGCCTGGCTTTCTTCGCCTCACTCCAAGTCAGACTTCTCCTTTGTCGCCAAGGGGAATCGCAGGGACCTCCTCAAAGCCATTGTAGAATGCTGGGAGGATTATCCTGGCGAGAAAATGCGAAGCGTGTGGATGTACTTGTACGACTCGTTTCACGGCATAATGGAGGTCGCGGTTTGGAACGATTGAATAGTCGACACCGATTCGTACACAGCTCTGGAGATGAAGAGGACGTAGCCAAAGTCCAGCGTCGGATCATCACTGTAGCTGAAAAGAATCTGAACGAAATGCGAGCGGAAGCAGCGACTGTTAGCGATGCGGAGTCAGTATCGTCAGGTGACAATGACACGAGCGACGAAGACTCTGAAAACACAATCTCATTCGTCTGAGTTGCTTTTTTCTCTGTATATAGCTCTGTATATAGCTTGTAAACAGGTTAGACAATGCCACGAGTGTTATTCCAAGTCAAACGGAACAATTCCAGAGCTGTGCGCAGCTTTCAAAAAAAAGTCACGAAGTTTTTGTTACGGAGGAAGTATATGAACCCTGGAACCAACAAAGGTGGCAGGTACAACATTACACCTTCAAGCAGCTGAGACCATTGGCAACAGACCCAGCACAATCAGGCATAAGTGTGCCCACGAACCGGACTAGCGGGCACACGCACACACACACACACACACACACACACACACACACACACACACACACACACACACACACACACACACACACACATACACACATACACACACAAACCCACAAACCCACACATACACAGACCACACAAACACACACACACACACACACACACACACATGCGCAAACGCACATATGCACAAGCATAGCTGCATCATTGGTCTCAATGGTATAGCAATGTTCACTGCTTTAAGAACATTGTTGAGATCGCAAGGGCCTGCGGGAACTTGCCCTGCAAGTTGTGGATCTGATCTCTGCTGATTGGTATGTATACTGAAGATGTTCCACTGTATTATACCTATTGACTGAAGTCATACTAAACAATGGTCATGATCATGTACACTGTATCCCAAGCAAATTTTTATCTTGTGGAAAATGTCTGCAATGCTCTGCTCATTGTTGTCTGAACAATAGAAGTAGGGACTCTACTGACTCACTCAGTACCCTTGCTGGAAGCATACAAAGAGGTACTCGATAGGGGATAAGGCAGGGTAAGGGTAATGGATTGACATGCATCATTACTTCACATACGGCAGGTCAACAGGAGCTGGCTATCATCCTATGACATAACTATCCATTAGTGACTTCGCTTTATTTTTTTATTTTTTTTAAGGTAAACGCTATTTGATTAAAAGGTCCATAATGATAAATGTAGAAAGGAAAAAGACATATGGATACGAGTTAAGAGTAACTCTCCATCACTGTAACTGGATACTATATACAGTCAGAAAGTGCAATAAATAGGCACAAAACTGACAAGAGTACTGAGACATTCAACGTATATAGTATCCAGTTACAGTGACGGAGAGTTACTATTAACACGTATCCATATGTCCTTTTCCTTTCCACATTTATTTATGGCTCAACATCCGAGTTTCAAATAATGATAAATTCCTTTGGGATTTCAAGGCAGAGTACTCCTGACGTAGCTAGACATTGACCTGCAAGTCTTGTTTGGGCAAAGTGATACCACCGATATCACATACCTGCATCCACCCATTCTACTCGATATGGCATTTGAGGAATGTCACACTGTTCTGACTACAGCAGTCAGTATATTATAAAAGCGTTTTAGATCAGGCAATAGACACCCTTAGCAAAAAACGTTATGTTGTAACGGTATTACCGTAAGGGGGAAAATACCGTGATTTCGGTTCGACCTTTAGCAAGATGCACGCAATTTTTAGTACGCTGTTGCCACGAGAATAGCTTTTATTTCGCGCGGTACAACCATTTTTGTCACCATATACGCAATACAAGGTGAAATGCGTACGGACTATGCAATATTTGGCCAAAAAACGTACCGTTGGTCACAACGATAAATCAGCCCCCATAACGTGTTTACGCTGCAGCTTCAACCCTATTTGGGTGGTCAAGGTACGAGTACCGTAAAAAAATAGCGTTACCGTTGTTTGCTAAGGGTGTCTATTGTCAAAAGTACTGCCGGGCGGAGAAGAACGAAGTGCCGAAGAATTTCCCAGCTAGAATTTTACCAAATACAGCATACCAATGTATACATGGTAACTCAACTGTGCATAGACTGTAGTAAATGATAATAAGAACGGTCTAGGCTAGGAGGCTGCCCCCTCGCACCCAGTTCTTCGACGACCGACAATACTGTAGCTAAGTTGCTAATTTGCACTGAGTCATATGTTTACTTCCTGAATGCTGTGTTTCACTCATATCTGACATAAAATCATGCCGCAGAACGAGACTCTCGTACTTAAAAAAACGTGTAGTTCCTTGGTCCTTTTTTCTTCTATAAATTAGAAAAAAACTTATTAAAATGATGTAACTCCTACCCCCCCCCCCCTCCTTAGTCAGTTAGTGTTCACATATACATGCATGGACTGTCATACGCATGTATGCACGCGACACCGTTTGTGCTCCTATCCATTTACATGTTCCGCTTCCCCTGTACGCATGCACGCACACCACTACATTCTGTTGGCATCATGTCACAGAGCTTTCTGGAGCTAGTTGTTGTTTGGAATAAAGCAAGAGAACAACATTACACTCCCCCCCCCCCCTTTATATCTCCCTCTTACCTTACATTACACCCCTTACCTAACATTACACCCCCCTTACCAAACATTACATCCCCTTTTACCTAACATTACACCCGCTTACCTAACATTACACCTCCCCCCCCCCCCCCCCCACCTCCAAGAAAGACGCAATCACATGCACAATTTGCACACATGCAAAAACCTCGACATTCACATTTAAAGCCAGTCAGTGTAAGTTACCGAGCAGTGTGCTTAGTACCTGGGACAGTGTGAGGAATGCAAGTACACATACACACAGACCTACCCAACGGCGATACAACTGGTTGATCACTGTTTCTCCGCACCAGTCTGCAAGGATGCAGGCACACTCCAGGCAGCCATCATCGCAGGCCGCGAATAGCAGCTGCCCCTGGTATGCAGGAATGGTATGAACACAAAATCAAGCAACATACAAACGCACGCACGCAGGCATGGGCACACACACATACATACATACACACACACACACGTACGCACACACTCACACACACACACACACATGCACACACACACACGCACACATGCACACACACACGCACGCACACATACACGAATACACACAAGCATGTATATTCAAACATTGATGTACATCCATATCCACATACTTGTTCTTTCTGACAGACAACAACAGTTGCTGGTCACTTGGGTCTCCCGAAAAGGGGAGAGGGAAAATCCAATAATTATGATATTGCAAGATTACTTAAGTAGCTATGGAAACGACCACTTTTCACACCAAGGTGAATGTCTGGACCCTGGGTGGTTTTGGAGATGATCCCACATAGTCTGGACTGCTAAATCAGAGTGGGTCTGATAAAGGATTCACTGGTACCATTGATTACACAAGAAAATAATAAAAAACGTCCAAAAGTAGTCCACTGGTACGTATGTATGTATATTGTGAACAAAGACTAAGAAAGATAGGAGAAATCACATGGAAACGAGTCAACAAAGCAACTATCCACGACTGTTACAAGAGATGATAATCAGTCAGAAAGTGCGATACCAGGGCACAAAACTGACATGTTACTGTGACAGTCAACAACCTGAGACCTAGCTCTCACACACCTCCAGTGCGCAAACCAACAGCCTTCCAGCTTGGAAGGATTTTTAAAAGGTTATGGTAAGACCAATGACGGTTTTGTACAATTCATTGTCGCAAAGCTTCCCCTTTTTCTTTATCTCTGATATTGCTGACCCACCCAAGTTGGGTGTTGTGTTGCTTTGCTGCTTCGAGTTGTAGTTAGAGCGCATTGTCATGTTATTAACTGGTCTCGTCATGGTCCTGTAACAGTCAGCATTCTTTGTTGCCGTGGGACTTACCTTATGCACAGTTTCGCTGCATTCACCTTCCCCTCATTGGTCCTACCATAAACTTGAACCTTCAAAGCTGGAAGTCTGTCGGTTTGCGCACTGGAGGTGTGTGAGAGCTAGGTCTCAGGTTGTTGACTGTCTTAGTAACATGTTAGTTTTGTGCCCTGTTATCCCACTTTCTGACTGATTATCATCTCTTGTTACAGTCGTGGATAGTTGCTTCATAACTCGTTTCCATGTGATTTCTTCTATTTCAATTATATTAATTTTATTGCCTCAGTACCCGAGTTAAAGACTAAGAAGTGTTTATTGAAGCTGACACCAACACAGACGACAGGCACAACATTATAACAACACGCAGTGGAGTCTGATGGCTATAGATCCATCCATGATCTCGCTATAGGCAGCTGTCACACACACGAACGCATGCACATATTCACAAATGCGTGCACGCATGCACACACACACACAAACATACAAACACACATACGCCCACATACCACACGCACGCACACACACACACACACCTTGTCCTGGTCCTGGTAAACACTGCCATTATGGTCAAGTGCCCGCTTGCGGGGCCGACAACATGGAACGACGAGTGACGACAGAAAGTGGGCGGTTTGCCGAGAGGTCAGGGACCATGTTCAATTGGTACCACGAGAGAGCAATCTCCGGCAGCTATGGATATGGAAGCCACGAGTAGAGCGGAAGCACCGACCACAGGCCCCACAGTGGGCCTTGCAGCATAAGAGATCGAACCGCACGCGAGGTGGCGGAGGAATGAGCTGAGCAGCAATGGTGGACACCGCTGTTCGACATGGAGCTTGAGACGATGCCGTGGGGAGCGCCTGGGAGATGGGGCACTTGTGGACTGCCAAACCTCCAGCACTTTGGAACCAGCGCTGGCAGGCAGAACATTGTCGGCTACCTCTCTATACTGATCCAGGTTTGCGGCGCTCATCTAGGCATTTGTGACGAGGCAAGCCACTCCTGGAGAAGAGACGACTACACTCGGCACAAGGTACCTGCAGGGGCGCACAAACGGGTTCGGGCGGGGGCAGAACATTGTAAGCGGCCCGCCGTTCCCGTCTATCCTCGGCAAAGTCGTACCGTTTGTCGATGCCCAACACCGCCAGATCCCTCCGCGCAGCATTGCGCCACCTTTTTCTCGGGCCGCATATCGGACGGACAGGATGCAGGGTACCAAACAGTAGCTGACGCGGGCACGCTCTTTATGCATTTGCACAACATGCTCAAGCCACTCCATGTGGCGCGATGTCAGCAGGCTGGGGATGTCACGGGGCTGACACGGATTCCATCGCCCCAGAACATCAACCCTGGTCAGTCGTTCGTCCCAGACAGTCCGCTGGCTGACACCCATTACGAAACGGATGCAGCGCAGATGGAAAGAGCACAGTGCATCAAGGTCGGGCTTCAATGGCACACAGCACTCAGCACAGTACAGAAGCAGAGATGACATGCATGCCTCGTACACAAGCCGCTTCGTAGCAAGGAAAAGGTCGCTGTCAAATGCACGTGATGCACCGGCAATGCGCGAGCTGATATCCGGGGTGGATCGGCCATTCGTGTGAAGGAGGGAGCCAAGATAACGAAAACTATCTACACACTCGACCACCTCACCCGCCACGTCCAGGGGCAGCCGGTCTGCTTCCGTGAGTTCATATCCAGCAGCCATCACCTTTGTCTTGTCCAAGTTGACTGTCAAGCCGACAGAAGACGCTACATATATGAATAGGTCAAGGGCCCGCTGTGCACCATCATGAGTGGTAGCCAGCACACACACGCACCCGCCCACCCGCCCGCCCACACGCACACATGCATGCACGCACACACACACACACACACACACACACACACACACACACACACACACACACACACACACACACACAGACACCCATACACACACACACACACACACACACACACACACACAAGCCAGCCCTCAAAACCATGCCCCCCCCCCCCTTCCTCCTCAACACACACATACACACCTGTCCTGTAGTGCATCTGCTTCATAACATTACTCATTCATGTCTCCTCCAGAGATGACACATGCCCGCACACGCACGCACTCACGCACAGACCAATGCATACACACACAACACACACACACACACACACACACACACACACACACATACACACACACGAGCGCACACGTGCGCTCACAAGTCACACCCGAGGAATGCCTCACCATTTTGGGGCTGATGCTAGCTTTTGAAACTCACGACAACAAAGTGCTATGATCGCAGCTCAGTGTCAACTTGGAAAATCAAACTTTCACATTTCCCAAATGAGGAACATGGCAAGTTTCTGCTACAATGGAGTGTAGGACAATGGCAAGTTGCTGTTACGCCGGAGTGTGGACAGTAGCCAAGGGCTGGCGAACGTCACCTTTTCTGGTTTGAGAACACCCGTCGCAGCTTTCTTTAAAATCACTTCACATCACTGGACAAGACTCGTCTCCAAGTTTGGAACTCTGTTGTATAAAGTCATCTCAAGAAACATGTGTATTGCGCGGCTGTGTCAGGTGTATCTGGGAGATCGTGTACGATTGTCGACCGGGCAGCGGTTTGCGAAGACAACATCGCACAAGAAAAACATATCGGTAGTCAAGAAGATACTTGGCCAAAAAAGCAGGACCTCCAACGGTAGGAGTAGTCACCTTTTTCAAAAGTATCTTTTCAGCGAAACAGTGAGTCTGTCCATTGAAATTGCTGGAGGAATCAGGGAATGGCGATGATACTCGGTGAAGTCAAGCCACAGTAATAGTCCAGTGGACAGTGGATAAACACAAGCTGTGATCACAACTGGCACGTTTACTCGTGAAACCACACGTTTATTCATTTTTGCTGCCTTTTGGTGCGTCATGCGTGTGGAACGAACCGAAATGAAAACAACATGTTCTATTTTTCAGCGCGTACATAATGTACATGGCTGTGACCAGTCCAGCTTTTTTTTATTTTATTTTTTTTACTAGAGCCACGTAAAACCGTCATGTGTGAGCCATGAATAAGGGGAGTGGTGGCGTGGTCTGCAAGCCAACAGCCGCCAGTGCTCCCAGTGTCACCGATGGTTTCTGAGTGCGGGTGGCATTGCAGTCCATCGCTGTGCCCAGTCCAGTTCTGCCCTGAATGTTGCCAATGCCACAAGCTCTTCACCTGTACGCCTATGTATTCGGAAACCGTGCTGTACCGCTCACTGTCTCATTTGTGAACGTTGCTGCAAGTCGATCCGGGGCTTTGCTATCCACAACTGCAACCGATCCACCAGGCGCCCAACTGCTGATGAAAGGGACACGTTCCAATTGCAATGTCAGAATTGCCAGAGGCGTTTCAAAAGGCGAAACGACTTATCCCGAAACCAACGCTCGTGTCTCCTCTCGTCTCCGTCTCGCTCAACGAGAAACAAGTGACCTACATGGCAGTGTATACCAGGACCAGGGACCAGGTGTGTGTGTGTGTGTGTGTGTGTGTGCGTGTGTGTGTGTGTGTGTGTGTGTGTGTTTGTGTTTCTGTGTGTGTCAATGTGTATGTGTATAACTATGTGCATATTACCTACCAGTAATGGTTCCTCATCTCCCTTTATGTTGGTATATGTCTGGTTTGATACACCTTCCTTCAAGGTACCGTCCTCTTGAAGGATTGCCTTCCTCAACTTCTGATGGTCGTTTCTCCGTACAAGGCGGCGCAGGTACTCCGCCTCGGGAAGAGTCTCCATTGCCATGGTTACACCTGTAGTACACCGGACAAAATGAGAGAAATTCCAGTCAATGCTAATGTATGCTATGTTTGTCATAACTATGCAAAACATCACAATACAATAGACTCTCATAGGCATACTGTGCCACTCCTGCCTGGATTGGCAGTTGAGTAGAAGTGGGCAGATAAGAATTGAATACTTGAGTAGCAAGTAGAGTGTCGAGCACACTTGAGGATCTCTACGTACATGTCAAGGCATATATGAAATCATAGTACATAGTATTTGCCTGGTCAGACAGCAGCACATAAATACTCATGGGATCACTCTACAAATCTTCATAGTAACTTCACAACACGACGGCAACAGCTGCTGGGTTTAATGTTGCAGGAGCAAGAATTCAACTCCAAAATGCAAATAAACTTTGCCACTCATTTGATGCTATGCAGTAGCCAATATTCACTGGTCTTTTACCATTATTATTTTTATAATCAAAGTGCTTAAAGTGTTCAGTAGTTACAACCAGCAATAAACATCATAATGCATGATTATCCTGAAGTTGCCTTTAGCTACAAAGTGGAGGACACCACTGGTACTCAATGTATGCTGTGGCGTAGGAAACATTTGAAAAAAGGTTTTTTCAATGTAAGGTAACGTTTAACACTGGAATTTATCGGCACATGCATCTGGTTTTGTATGACGTACAGCAATATGCGCACAGATTGCCTTGGTTATAAAATGGCTGACTTGGTCTTGAAGGAAACAAGTTTGCTTTCCAGCGGCAATTAGTCATCTCTTGAGTGTGTCAAAGATTTTGTGTGGCTCTGATTTATGATATGCGGAGTTCACAGTGCAAGGAAATATGTTCCCAACCTGCCAGTCTTCATATTATTGTGTTTTCATGCTGTCGCCAGTCTTAAGTTACTCAAGGTCTGACAAGAAGCTTAACGATCAAGTACACAAACATGTCCTCTCATAACAGCATATATTGTATGGCTACAAAGTAATAGAATATTAGCAAGAGTATTATAATCCCCAAGAGTATGCACCTCTGCTATGAGTGCTGTCCTGACAGCATTTCATGTTCAAAAGTGGACTTCATATTTTATGATGCAATGCTCATTGTTGTACACATATTCTCAGACGTATGCAGGACCTGTGGCGGACAAATCACCTGTTGATCATGCAGAAATTAGTTCAAGAAAAAATTGTGATGCGTTCACGCCCTGTACAAAATGTCGTGAATCACCCGTGAAAGGAGCATTGCATCGTGAAAAAGACGCCAACTTGAAATTCGGTCTGGACCGCATGGTATGCAGGTGTGGCACAATGTTAGGGGTTGTAACTCTTGATATTAGTCAGAGGTTCAGTACAACAATTATCATTCATTTTCGACCCCATCCCCCCCCCCCCCCCACAACACACATACACACACACGAATCCATGCACACACACACACACACACACACACACACACACACACACACACACACACACACACACACACACACACACACACACACACACACGTACGCACACACGCACGCACACACTCAAAAACTAGAGTGCCCCGTACATGCAGGTGTATATTTTTGTCATTTTCACTAGTGATATTCTTTCAAGGATGTGATAATATGATTCACAATGATTTGTCAAGATGATAAAGACAAAAACAATTTTTATTCATTGCTGACTGCGCTTCTTGACATGCAGTGTTGCTCAATAAAATCCGGTCGAGTAAGTCAAGTTTGTGCTTTGCAACATGTCACTTTGCATCATAATTCCTTTCTCAGCCTAGCGTTCGCAGGTCTGGGGCTGTGCAACGCCTGGCACGTACTTGTTTGACACGACTGGATTTCATTGAGCAGCTCTGTACTTGTTTGACACGACTGGATTTCATTGAGCAGCTCTGTACTTGTACTCCGACGTGATGTATTCCTGCCACGAATGATAAACAGACATTGTACATACCCGCCATGCCCTTTCCCTCCAATCACAACCATGGACAAATACACCGATCGCCCCCCCCCCCCCCCCCCCACAACACACACGTACACACACCACACGTACACACACCACACGCATACACACACACACCACTCAAGCACCATACACAAACGAACACAGCGGCAAAGTGCTCACCACCAATGGCACCATATGTAGCGTGGTCTCTCAATCAGCAAGCACCGCTACCATCTACAATACTTCGCAAACTGCAAGAATTCTACTTCAAGTCTAAAGAAGAACTCAGTTGTAAAATACAGTTTTACGCGAAGTGAATTTCTTTCACCGACACAGCAAGCTGATCTAGAAAAGACGAAGGGCTGGTCTCCAGCCAGTAGATGTTTATACTAGTCCACTATCTAGTCATCTTCACTGTCTGTCAACAGTATGGCTCAACCGACAGCTGAATGATCTGTGCCGTTCTCAAACTCACTGACTTTTATCAGTATTGGCTTGTCCGCAAAGCACTGCATGAACTGCCTGTCCGTAGATCCAAGGACGGTAGGTCTACGCGGTGCGCGCGTGCGCCTCTCCGTGGTCTCCGACCTCACCGAGTCAGTGATGTCCTCTTGGCGCCGCGGGCCGCACCCCCGTCATAAACCTGGCCATGGTACATAGACGACGTCATTGGTAGAGTTGAATTCAAGCCGTTTTCTTGGATATGTCTTTTCTACTTGAGAAGGACAGGCTGGAGAACCGTACGGTAGATGTCAAGGAGTCGCAAAATACCGGTATTTTTGCGACTCCCTGGTCGATGAGCAGAGCTGCTAAAATGATGACATCGGATCGCGTGAGTAAAGTATGCCCTTTGCACTGGGCAGCCGGCCCCAGACTTGGGAACCCAGGGATTTTTACTGCTCCAGGCCGCAAAGCTGACTCACTCGATAGGCCTTCATCTCTCCCTCCCGCTCTTGTTTACATGATGCAGTGCGCCTTGGCTATGGCCCTGGTGGATGTGTGCACGCCGACTGCGAGATGTATCACGTGATTTATGTACATTTGAGGACGTCAGTGAGCATTATTATTATTATTATTTATTAAATTTTTAATAGGGCATTCCCACAGGCCTAAGGCCTTCTTATGTCTAGGCATGGCTGGGTAATGCTAGCATTATGTCTAGGCATGGCCGGGTAATGCTAGCATTATGGCTGGCATTATAGTCCCTTTTTTCCAGTTGGCATAATGCTGGCATTATAACACCATTTCGCATGCGAAATTGGCATTACAAGCATAATTGCCGGTCGACAACGGTGTCATGCATGAAGCTGGCTAGGTCCAGTTACGAAAATCGTGCATCTGAACCCGTCCGGCTTCGTCCGGAGACTTGACGTTGCAAATTAACCTCCTCAGTGGATTGTTTCAGACAACATGCTCACCGTTGTTTAAGTTTTTTTCTTCTACGCTTTTGCCTTGATCCAAGACGGCCTTCTTAAACCGACTTTTCCAACTTTCAAACTGGCATTATGTAGTAGTGTGAGCATTATAAGTGGCATTATGAGCATTGCCTTTAGCATTATCGTAGCAAATAACTACTTCAAAGTAGCATCACCCGTCCATGCCTAATTATGTCAGTGTTCTCCTTGGCTGCTTGCGAAAAGTCATACTCATACGAGTCATAGCAAGAGTTCGTGCACAAAACTCAATGCCTGAGTAGATGGGAGTTTTCTTTGTAGAGACCTTTGTTGTCTTGTGGAGACATGATAATTATACTGGTAATTATACTGATGTACGTCTGCAGCTCTACATGTATGAAGGGCGCAGTTCACGCAAGTGCGCAAACAGATCGCTTGTGTACGATATACAGGCATGAAGTTGAGATTGCTCAATCTTAGCAGTTGGCACGGATGATTTAACTCTGTAACTTCTGAAGTAGGTTTACGGTATGGGTGGACACCCCATCGGCTGCCATCAGCATGTGTGTACATTGTATCTTGTTGCTTGGCCAATCGCGTCGAGCGCACGCTCATTGATGTGCCTGTTTTAAATATAGCGATTGATAACAGTATGTGCCGTCCGTAGTCCGTAAAGAGTTAAACTCACATGCTGTGTCGAACCTCACAGTCCGCACCGCACAACTAACATCTGTCTAACACTGAAATGAACAGGGAAGACGAATGAACTACGAAGAGCGTGATATCCGCCAGCCAATTTACTATTGGCGTGCGTGAACACTATGTGCACCACCAGTATTCAGTGCAAGGTATAGCAATTGTTTGCAAGTAGCTTCTACTGTTCCTGTTTGCAAGTAGCTTCTACTGTTCCTGTTTGCAAGTAGCTTCTACTGTTCCTGTTTGCAAGTAGCTTCAGTAATTTTATTTTTCACCTTGTCATGCACCTTCTTCACTCTCTCATGACAGCCACCTTCATTTTCCTTTCCTCGGGAGACTTCCTAAAAATTTGATAGGCATCCATTCACCTCTGGAGAATCCTTGAAAATCTAGTATCAAGAATGTGGAAAATGTGTCATTGGCACACGTACTACAGCCTGGGAAAGGTGGTTTTCGGCGTTCGGCAACAAGCCTATACTGTATACAAGAGATCTGCATTGTTCCTGGTTGACAAGTGTTATGAACCGTACACACATGTCATGGCAATTATCAGGTGCCCCCCCCCCTTTCTCTTCCCTTTCGTCTCATCCACCCTTCCAGGAAACTCCCCCGATACGTATCCATTTACTTTTGCAGAATCCTTCAAATAAAATCTAAATGTAACATGTAACATGTAAGGTGCTGTATTTCTTTTTCCCTCCTACCGTCCTGTATAGTGTGGACCGTTAGACGGTAGACAGTGTTTGAACAATGAGCGGGGTGGGGGGGGGGGGGGGTTGAGCGGGGTGGGGGTCCTTAGGCTGTATGTAGTTTGTCCTCAAACTGTAGATGACGAAAACAGAACTTTGAAGTAGACCAACATTACCAGCAAGTATTTTATATCCATGGTATACTGTCGCTACACTTTAACAACGAATCTGAAAACACCAGTATATGATAACAATGTCCGGCCGGTGGCTGTTTCGACATTGTTAGGTGACCTCAGCGGATCTCAGCGGATCAGAGGAGTTACTGTCCGAACCAGTTCAGGATAGCATACATGTACTGTTGCTACTAGACTGAGGATAACAACACATCTGAAAACACCAGTACGTAATGTACGTAGTTATTGTTGTTTACCATGACTCACCTTTCCATTTCTTCATACATGTACCTCTCTGTTGTTATCTCCATCAACATGTACCTACTACATCTACCTACACAGTATCACACTATCAGAATAATGGACACATGGATTTTACTCAGCATGGATGACGTCATTAGACATTGATAATACACACACATCGAGATGCAAAACAACAGACACCAAAGACTTTCTTCTGCTCCGCTGAGTTTTATCAAAACAATACCAGGCCTGTCGCCTAGCTTGTGATATGAGCCAATTCACGTGTTAGCATACCTTAGCTAGGTGGTGATGTTAGTGCAAAGATTACCAAGTCGTTGGTGCTGTGATTGACAGCAAACAGTCACGTGATTGAATTTAACAGCTAGCAATTGAAGTGTAGACACTTTAGTGGGTGACATGCGATATTGACATTTGTGATGGACATGAAAGAATGATGAAACAGAACAAAAAGGAAAACTAAATGTTCGACCCCTACACCTCAACAGAATGGGAAATAGGTGCAATTGTGAAGACACATAGCAAGCGGTAAATGTAGTGCCACAATATCAGACATCCAATGTACATACATGTAGGCATGGGCGGGTAATGCTAGTTATTTGCTGCGATAATGCTCATAATTATGAGGATATAATGCCACTTATAATGCTCACACTACTCCATAATGCCAGTTTGAAAGTTGGAAAAGTCGATTTAAGAAGGCCGTCTTGGATCAAGGCCAAAGCGTAGAAGAAGAAAAACATAAACAGCAGTGAGCATGTTGTCTGAAACAATCCTCTGAGAAGGTTGATTTGCAACGTCAAGTCTCCGGACGGGTTCAGATGCACGATTTTCTTAACTGGACCTAGCCAGTTTCATGCATGACACCGTTGTCGATGCTTGTAATGCCAATTTTGCATGCGAAGTGGTGTTATAATGCCAGCCATAATACTAGGATTACCCGCCCCTGCCTACATACATGTGACACGAATCCCAGCACATTCAACTGGTGCGTATGACTCAGTATGATCATTGGCTTTTCCACAAAGCACTGCATCAACTGCTTGTCCGTAATGCCAAGGACGGTCAGTGCGCGCGCCTCTCCATGGTCTTCCCACCTCAACGAGTCAGTGATGTGTTCTTGGCGCCGCGGGCCGCACTCCCGTCATAAACCTGACTATGGTACAAGGACGACGTCATTGGTTGACAGTCTTTTGACAGTTTTGTCAACAGCACTTTTACATGTATTTGGAACCGTAAGTCTACTGAGTCGTAGTCAAGCCGTTCTTGGATATTTCTTATCTAGTTGCTCATGAGGCTTGAGAGGCTGGAGTGGAGAACGGTCCGGTACATTTCAGGGAGTCGCAAAGTACCGGTATTTTGCGACTCCCTGGTCGATGCGCAGAGCTCATAAAATTTGACATCGGATCGCGTGAGTCAAGCCTGTGCGCTATAGGCCTTATGCACATTGTACAGATGCACGAAATCTCGTAGAATCTCGTAGAATCCCGTAGACCCGGTTGGGTGTTGAATGTGCAGAGCCCTATTGTGGTTTCTTCAATTTCCACTAAGAAATGGGCTCTGAAGGCATTTCATACGAAAACTTTTTTTCTGACTAAGATCTAGCTAGTTTTTAGTTCTAACCAAAGTGAAAAGCTGGAAAAGCGACTGTTTGCCATTAAGTTAATTATGAGGCTAAAATTGGTCAAATGTGCATGCATAGCACACAATGAACACCCAACCGGGTCTGTACACACCTACGGTCCTACAGTCCATTTCAAAACTATAGACGCGTACCTAGGCAAAAACCGTTATGCCAGCATCTATACCACATAAAATCTGTGATCACTTTGTGCATAATTTTTTCCAAATTGGGCGTCTGTTATCCAATCGTTTAGGAACTATATGAGAGTAATTGTGGAGCGATCCTGAGCAATATTCCGAAAACTATTCTCAAAAAGGTCCAGCCAAATTTGAAATATTTCAAAAACCCTACGCGTCTATAGTTTTGAAATGGACTGTAGTACAGAACTTTGTACATCTGTACAATGTGCATAAGGCCTATTGAACCCGCCCCAGACTTGCAGACCCAGGGATGTTCACTCCTCCAGGTTGCAAAGCTGGCTCAGTCGATCGGCCTTCATCTCTCTCTCCCTCTCTCGTTTACACGATGCAGTTCGCCTTGCCTCTGGTAGATGTGTGCATCCCGACTCGGACTGCGAGATGTAGCACGTGATTCATCTACACGTGACCTCAGTGTGCATAAATATTGTCAGTGTTCTCCTTGGCTACTTGCGAAAGTCATAGCAAGTTTTAGTTCCCCAAAGTCAATGACTGAGTAGAGGTGTAGGCAGTTGAGGTGTAGGTACTATAGTCAGTCAGTGGGTGACATGCGATTTTGACATTTGTGATGGATGTGAAAGAATAGTGAAACAGAACAAAAAAGGAAAACTAAATGTGCCACCCATACTCATCAGCAGTTGTTTCGTTTTGTTATTTGCTTTCTGCAGGTATTGCATTATGAATTAATTGGGTAGATAGTTCCGTGTTTGATATTGAATTTTTTATATTATATTTTTCTTTCTCTTTTATTTTATTCGTGTTCGATATTGAATTTGTTACAAATTTGTTATTCTATTTCTCATTTTTCATTCGTGTTGGGTTTACCTATTCACTGTACTGATACATGGTGATGATTGTGCTTCGCTTTGCCCGTAAAAGAGGCCTTCCGATGGATCATCAGCAGATTGGGAAATAGGTGCAATTGTGAAGACACATAGCAAGCAGTAAATGAAGTGCCACAAATCCAGACATCCAATGTACATACATGTGACACGAATCCCAGCACAGTCAATAGTGGACAGAAAGGCTATGTGGTTGTAACTCAGTGTGTCATGATCAACACTGCTATCATCAGACAACATCATAATGGTGCGTATGAGTATTATCATTGGCTTTTCCACAAAGCACTGCATCAACTGCTTGTCCGTAATGCCAAGGACGGTCAGCGCGCGCGCCTCTCCGTGGTCTTTGGACCTCACCGAGTCAGTGATATGCTCTTGGCGCCGCGGGCCGCACTCCCGTCATAGACCTGACTATGGTACACAGAAGACGTCATTGGTAGACTGTCTTTTGACACTTTTGTCAACAACACTTTTATTAGGATGCATAGGTGTACTGAGTCGTATTCAAGCCGTTTTCTTGGATATGTCTATTCTACTTGAGAACGACAGGCTGGAGAACCGTATGGTAGATGTCAAGGAGTCGCAAAATACCGGTACTTTTGCGACTCCCTGGTCGATGAGCAGAGCTGCTAAAATGATGACATCGGATCGCGTGAGTCAAGTATGCCCTTTGCACTGGGCAGCCGGGCCCCAGACTTGGGAACCCTGGGATTTTTACTCCTCCAGGCGCAAAGCTGACTCACTCGATAGGCCTTCATCTCTCTCCCTGGCCCTCTCTCTCGTACCGTTTACATGATGCAGTGCGCCTTGGCTGTGTGCACGCCGGCTCTGAGATGTAGAACGTGATTCATCTACACATGACGTCAGTGTGCATGATGTCAGTGTTCTCCTTGCAGCATGGCGACTTGCCAAAGTCATACTCATACTCATACTCATACTGAGTCATAGCCATAGCAAGAGTTGGTGCACAAAACTTCAAAAGTCTATGACTGAGTAGATGGGATTTGTACCTGTAGGCTGTAGGCTGTAGGCTGTAGGCTGTAGGCTGTAGGCTGTAGGCTGTAGGCTGTAGGCTGTAGGCTGTAGGCTGTAGGCTGTAGGCTGTAGGCTGTAGGCTGTAGTCTGTAGAGACCTTTGTTGTCCGGTCGACACATTAGCAAAGGCAACAACAAACTACAAAAGTAATTGCACATGCGCTTAATTAATTACAAGCCCCCCCCCCCCCCCTCCCTCCGGGGCACTATTGAAGAGAGTGTTGAACGGTATGTACATCATGTATATACACAGGTATACCTGAATTACTAATACCCACAATGCAAGTACACAGCAGCACCTACATGACGTCATTGTACATGTATGTACACAGGTATCCCTGAATTACTCACAATGCAAGTACACAGCAGCACCTACATGACGTCATTGTACATGTATGTACACAGGTATCCCTGAATTACTCACAATGCAAGTACACAGCAGCACCTACATGACGTCATTGTACATGTATATACACAGGTATCCCTGAATTACTAATACTCACAATGCAAGTACACAGCAGCACATACATGACGTCATTGTACATGTATCTGATGATAACCATGTTACAGAGTGTTCTCGAAACTGAGAGTAACGGAGTAAGACCTTGGCCTCTCTGGTCATGGCTTTTGCCTGTGTCTGGTGAGCTGTTTCCCTAGCTTGGGCAAAGAGCACTATTTTCACTGTTAGGACCCTGCACACTTTGTGTAGTGAAATAGCTATGCACTCGGATACCAGTATTAGGCCATCATGTAAGACCACTTGGGACCGTCAGATTACTAACTGGACCAAGCTAGCCGGGGTAAAATCCCCGTCGATGGACGCAGTGATGAAGAGAACGCTGGGTACAGAACTACTGTTCTATATTGTGTACTCGGTCGGTAGATGAACAAAAGAATACTGGGAGAAAAATTCATACAAAATTGTTACTCAATCTGCGGACAGAACTGTTTCGTCCTTTGTGGACTCATCAGCGCACCACAGAGGAAATGAGGCCGAACCTGATAGCAATGAATAATAAAGTTACCCAAAGCTAGATTTCAAAAGGCCAGAACGTACATGTACCTTGCCAGAGTGCTCAAACTAACAAGTCAGTGAGCTCTGCATAACGCAAGCAGCAAAGTCACTACCCCACACAAGAGTGATCAACTGCTACAAGAGCATAATTGTCATGTACTCCGGGAGGAAAACTTCATATACATAATTGTTACTCAATCTGCGGACAGCATGCTGTTTCGTTCTTTGTGAACTCCTCAGCGCAGCACAGAGAAAATGAGGCCAAACCGGATAGCAATGAAAATAAAATTTCCGAAGCCAGATTTAATGAGACCCGAACGTACCTTGCCAGAGTGCTCAAACTGACAAGTCAGTGAGCTCTGCGTAAAATATACAGAATTGTTTTGTACTCCGGGAGGAAAACTTCATAATTATACATAATTGTTTTGTACTCGTATTGGGACTCAGACCGTGAGTATATCCGTGATTTCTGCGAGGCACGCACTTGTCCCCACCAGCAAACTGATCGGCGGAGCAACTCTCTCAAACTCCTAGTACCTGCACGCACACAAACACTTGTGTACAGGGGATTGGTTCATGCCTGCCATGCCAGGCTCAAGCCCTAGGCCCTCGCTTGTGTAAGTGTGTGTTTAACCCTGTGAAGGTTTGAAGGGCTAAGGAACGCGTGAAATATGCACATCCATCATTTCGCCATAACGTAAGTTTTGTTTGCTTGGTTTTGGTAATCTAGGGCTCATTGAAACGCTCTTTCCGCTGCGAAGAGAATGAGGCCACGCTCAACTGCATGGATGCCAGAAAGCCTGTTAATTATATTAAAACATATAGACCCAAACTGGATGACATTCTGTGCATCATTACTGTTATCCCTGGTCTTCGCAATCACCAACATTCTACATCCCTGTCGTCTCTCACACACCACTTGCCAATGATAAGTAGTTCAGCCTGCAGCATTCCGCTGGGCTCATTCGCCAATTGATCAATTCCAAGGGAGCAATTCTCGCGACAAGGCGCAAGTTGGTAACAAGCAACAAACAGGTACACAACAAAGAAAACCGAGAGAACTTCTGTACGGATAGTGTCCCGAGGAACTATGACTGTATGAGTAGCGCAGCAGCTGACTGCAAGAAAACAATGCAAGAGATGTGGGTGGCTGGCACATTCACAGCACTGCGATACAATCCGTAGTAGATCTACGATCGCACGTATATGTACATGCGTAGCAACTGATTGGAGTAGGAGAAGCTGAGAACTACCTTAGTTAGCGCTCTGACGGGAAAGAGCGTGGAGATTTCGACCTCTCTCTCGACCTCTCACTCACTGTGACTCAGTCTGTACCAGCGCTAAGGATAGTGACCAGGGGGAGGGGGGGGGGGGGGAGGGGGAATGGTATTATTTTAGTAAACTACACAGTCGTCAGCATGTTATGCAGCTAGAGCAGGTCTGTTGCACATTTTCTTCTTTTCTGGCATCGTCGACCAGAAACGAAACTGACAACACAGCGTAGTACTCTGGTACTCAGTAGACAGTACTCAATGATCTGGCCACCGAATGTAGAGCCCCCTTCTAGAACAGTATAGTAATAATCTTTTACAGGTTTAAGGCCAAGCAATTGCCCTTGTTTGCCTCGTTCAGTTACGGCGAGGTGCTGCTGCCACGGGTGAAACCATGCAGTGGATGTGTGCTGTGCTATCACTGGTGTCAATGTTTTCCACTCAATTCTTGCTAACTGATAGTGTCAGCAGCTCAGCAGCATCGTTGGTGGACACTCTGGCGATGGCGTAGTGCTGCTACAATGTGCTCCGGGTCAACTAAACTGCAGCACGTCCACCGTAGCCTGTTCGTCGGACTCCGTCAATCCTGGACTGCTGGCGTGCAGTTGTGCCGACAACGTCAGTGCTGCTTCGTCTGCAGGAGGCGCAGGCTTACTGGGCGCATCGTGTGTTGAGATTGATCCGTGTCGACAGGGATCCGTGCAGAACTACTCCAGAACCGGTGGCGTGTGCTTGAGCTCCGATGGCGAATCGAACTGCTACTGCAGCGGAAATATGAGCGTTGGCGGCGACGAGGATGACGCCGTGTTTTGGTGTGTGCTGCTGACTGAAAACTGTGATAGCGGTGTTGAGGATGGGGTCGGTGCGACGCTAGGTAGTACAGCATGTGCTGCCATTGGTGGAGAGTGTGGGATGATGAGCAACGGTCGGACAAGGTGTGTGTGCAAGGAAGGTTACGCTGGTAATGGATACGTGTGTTCGGATATTGACGAATGCCATGCACACACTCACAACTGCTCTAGACCTGGTGCACTCTGTACCAATACCGCTGGTTCCTTCTTGTGCACGTGCAGACCCGGTTACCAAGGAAACGGGCTGACCTGCCATGACATCACAGAGTGTGAGCTGGGACTGCACAACTGCTCAGTAGTGGGTAGTGGTTGCAGCAACATGCAGGGATCATTTCTCAGTACTTGCCTAGCAGGTTTTGCTGGGGATGGCAGACTGTGCAGGGATATTGATGAATGTGTTAATAGACAACACACATGCTCACGATACGCTCAATGTCACAACTCCATAGGCGGCTACTCATGCGATTGTCTTGGCAACTACTCTGGTGATGGATACCGATGCCATCCGGACGAGTGCGCCATGAGAGTGCATCGTTGCCATGGAGACAACATTGTCTTCCTGGACACGGAGGCAGGCTTTGACTGTATATGTTGGGTCGGGTTTGAGCTCGACTCTACGCATTTTGGCTGTCAGGATCGTAATGAGTGCTTACTGGGCAACAGGTGTCAACAGAACTACATGTGTGTGAACCTGGAAGGTAGCTTTGCTTGTCTGTGTGCCTATGGCTTTGAGCTGGCCCGGGTGTCGGGTCCAACACAATGCATCGATGTGGATGAATGTCACGCTGCTGGAAATGGGAACGACTGTGATGCTATCGGTGAGCTGTGCAGGAATGTACCTGGTTCGTATGAATGTCAGTGCCATGATGGGTTTGCTAGGTCTGAAGCAAACTCTTCATGCAAAGGTACGTGTGTAGATTGCAGGATTACGATGAGAGAATTGGATTATTGCAGGTCTGCTGTATCTTGGCCGTTACAGGGTACCCAATAACCCGCCTGTTAAGCCACGTACCCGTTTGGAACCTTAAATTGTAACCGTTTCATCCCTACCTAGAAGCCCACGGGAATCACGACCCAGGGATGTTATTATTTCCAGTCAATTGACCCTGGATACGCAGACCACCTGTAAACAGAGACCACGTTTTGAAGGTGCTTTGAGCAGTCGTCTTAGACGGATTTCACCATACAATACTTCACTGTAATTATAATTATCTTATCAGCTGCTTAGCCATCATAGGTATGTACCGTGTGATGTCAGTGTTTCTATCATACTGTGTGTCATATGTGCTATAGAAATCAATGAATGCTCCACCATGACTGAGCCATGTCAGCCTGGGTCCCAGTGTCGTAATACAGAAGGCAGTTATGTATGTTCATGCTTGCCTGGCTTTCTACTGGTGGACGGGCAATGTCGTTCCTTGCCAGAATGCACTGAACAGACTGGTGAGTGGAATCACTTTCTCGTCCTACTCCTTCAAAATACATTTTTTTAACGTTCATAAGTTTGAGTTGAAATGGGAAACGCTTGAAGTAAACATTGAATGTCACCACCAAATATTGATTGTCAGGACTCAAACCAGCGAGCCTTGCTTATGTCCTGTGCTGCTCTACCACTACTCTATTACGTAGTTGTCATACTAGCAGCGTCTCTTCGGATTTCCTAACTCACACTTCCTGCGAATCCACACATGCTGGTGGGGCACAGCCTTCACTGTAATCGAACACTTCGCGTACAAACTAGGTCTGTGAGCACCAATACCTACTACGATGTGAAATTGCCATGGCTTTGAGGCAGTTAAAATGGGAATGTCTGAAGAACAATTCACTGCCACCACATTTGTATATTTTGTAAGTACCCGTAATAATATTAGGACAGAGAGTGCAAACTGCAAAGATCAGATCTGTACCTGACTGGGATAGGCATATGCGGATAATGCCGGCAGAAAAATTGGCAGAATTCGGTATTTTTCTGGTAAGTTTCATGCATGTTTGGTATGTGGATAAAGAAATGGAGCAGAATTCGAGGAATTGCACGCCACAAGGCTTGTATGGTTCTGCCAATTTCACTGCTTTTCGAGCAGAATCTGCCACCTTTTCGAGCAGAATCCGCCAATGCCTAGACTAGGATGTGAATTGTCCAAAAACAGGCCGGGACCAGATATGGCTATAACTTTTAAATCATGTTTGATCAGCATTACAGTGCAAAGGCCAACCACCGGTGCAAGAAACAGTTGGATTTCATTCAACATTATTGTGCTGCTTGCTGTTTCTTAATCTGAACAACACGTGCAGACATTGACTACTGCAATAGCACTACACATGCTCTCTGTAAGCTGTACGACACCACCGAGATGTGTCTCTGCGCCAACGGATTCAGTATGTCCCAGCACGGCTGTCGGAATATTAATAAATGCATACGTGGGCAACACGACTGCTTCTCAATGGAACACACGGAATGCATGGATACTGAAGGCTCCTACGAGTGCCGTTGCTCGACAGGGTATGCACTGGACGACAATCAACGATGCCAAGATGTGGAAGAATGTGCAGACAATATGCACGACTGTGATGGTATGGAACTTGCCTTGTACACACAGTGCCTTTACAGAGCTCTCTGCCTTTCCTCTTCTGCGAAACTTCTTTGTTCTCTCATAGTATAGCTCGGGCTGCGAAAATAGGCTTGAAATTTTCACTACGCATTGCAACATCTCGGCGCTTTGCCAGGTCTCAATCCTTTGCGAATCTGAGAAAACTAACCCCAGGAGAATTATGTGATACTGGCACAACCAACAACACAACAAATTGGCATCGCAGCGGCTCAGGCGACTTGGCAAACTGCTTTCGGAAGTGACTTTCGTCCTGAAGAAAGTGAGATTCAAAATCCAAGTATTTTCGCACCATGCCACAATGACGTCACACATACTTCGAAGTACACTGGTATGGGGGCGTGGCTATAATTCAAATATTTCAAGAACGCTTTCTCGTAGAGACTTCGGACCAAGACCATTCGACTTAGCGCGCGAAACTCTTCAGGATATCAAATTTTCATTTTTTCGTGGAGTTGGTCAGCCGACCAGAGGTCTCGGCTTCTCAATTTCTCTTCACTGGGGGTTTTCCCCCGCTCACCTACATACGTGTTCTTTTCCTCGCACACATTCTCACATTACCGATGACACATGCATGGCGAGTAGAATGAGAGAAAGGATGTTGTGTGAATGTCATGTCTTCTAAACCTTCTTTCCTATTGGACGTGAACCATGAACAACTGTGTAAGTGGGTCTGTTTGGTTGTCATGAGTAGTGTGACTGACAACATAGGATTTATTTTATTTATACAAGCATGTCGACAAAGACAAGCAAGCCAACATGAAAATAACATGTTACTGTATCATCCAGTATGGGCATACATGTACCGACATGCAATATCTATGACAGTAGATTAGGCTATGTCAGTCATCGAGCAGATGGTGATCTGCTTGTTTCATGTTCCCTCTGCACATTCAGGCAATGCCACATGTAGAATCAGTGTAGGGACATTCCACTGTCTCTGCAATACTGGCTTCACAGGAACTGGACACACTGGTGGGTGTGAGAATGTCAATGAATGTGTGCATGGTCTGACTGCTAACACAAGAACTATGAATCCTGTTACCACCATGGCTCGTATTCCTTGCACGGCTAGCAACATGCAGTGTGCAGACACGGTTGCAAGCTATCGATGTGACTGCTTGCCCGGTTACTACATGCAACATGACGGCCAGTGCAGACCCAGTAAGTCGTGATATGTTGACTTTGCGTACGATTCTACGGCACAGTGGCTGCATGCATACAGTTCAAGGATGGATATGCAACTCAGTCTGAGAACAGTACTGTTTCATTGATCCCTTGCAATGTGGACTCATACGCTCAGCACACAGGAATGAGGCACAGCATGGTAGATGCAGCCATGGAGATAACAGTTCTCAGAATTTCTTCATTGTCTTTGTGTACGGTGAGCAGTGGTGAAACTAGCAAGTTAGCTAGGTATTGGTGGAGAATATCATGATTGTTTCCCTGGTCAGTTTAGATAATGACCACCAAATGTATACTGTGAGGATCATCTGTTGTCATGGTGATGCGAAGACAATACAGAGAGCAAGTATACTAATGATGTGCGTGTGTGTGTGTTTGCGTATATGTGTGTGTATGTGTGTGTATGTGTGTTTGTGTATATTATGTGTCTGAGTGTGTGTGTGTGTGTGTGTGTGTATGTGTGTGTATGTGTGTGTGTGTATGTGTGTGTGTATGTGTGTGTGTGTGTATGTGTGTGTATGTGTGTATGCATATGTGTGTCGGAGTGTGTGTGTGTGTATGTGTGTGTGTATGTGTGTGTGTGTGTATGTGTGTGTGTATGTGTGTGTGTGTGTATGTGTATGTGTGTGTGTGTATGTGTGTATGCATATGTGTGTCGGAGTGTGTGTGTGTGTATGTGTGTATGCATATTGTGAGTGTGTGTGTGTGTGCGTGTGTGTGTGTGTGTTTGTGTGTGTGTGTGTGTGTGTGTGTGTGTGTGTGTGTGTGTGTACCCTGTATCCGTCATAGGCAGTGAGCTGTTCACACCATGGAGTCCACCACAGCCCGGAACACCCACATCATTGACATGGCCCATTCGAAAGTTTGATTACCAACAAGATCTGTGAGTCGATGGATATGTCTCCTCACAATACTTTGAGTGTGCTCTTGCATTGCCTGCTTTCTAGTTATCAAACCATGAATACTGGGATGGAGGGGGGGGGGGGGGTAGCCCTTGCCTTGCCTACTTCCTTGTTATCAAAACCATGAATACTGGGGTGGAGGGGGGGGGGGGGTAGCCCTTGCCTTGCCTGCTTCCTTGTTATCAAACCAATGAATACTGGGGTGGGGGTAGCCCTTGCCTTGCCTGCTTCCTTGTTATCAAACCCATGAATACTGGGGTGGAGGGGGGGGGGCGGGGGGTAGCCCTTGCCTTGCCTGCTTCCTTGTTATCAAACCCATGAACACTGGAGTGGAGGGGGGGGGGGGGTAGCCCTTGCCTTGTTATCAAACCCATGAATACTGGGGTGGGGGGGGGGGGGTAGCCCTTGCCTTGCCTGCTTCCTTGTTATCAAACCATGAATACTGGGTGGAAGGGGGGGGGGGGGGTACGGAGGTAGCCCTTGGCTGATAATGTCTATGGAAGAGTTAGCAGAAAATGGTACTTTGCTGGGATATTCCATGCATGCTTGGTATAAGGATAAAATCACTGCCTTTCAGAAGAATCTTTCCTTTATCGAACATTGTACGCCAAGGGCAAGTGGGGCGGGGGGGGGGGGGGGGGTGGAATTGAAGTCAGGGGAGGGCAAGAAATTTACTAAGACGAGCAAGAGCATGTTCTAGTGTAACAGATAAAGCTAGTACAATGCTATGTTACAATTTGAATGCTGAAGTACACTCACAATGTCAGCATGTACTGCAGCTGCTACTGTTTAACAATGGTAGAAAATTATAACAAGAGAAGATCTATTTCCAGAGTGAAGTAGGACAAGTTTATGACTTGATAGTCTTCTTCCTGAGTTGGCACCCCCCCCCCCCCCCCCCACCACACCCCATCTCCTGGGTAGTTGGTCCATCTTTGTTGATGATTTGCTTGCTACTGCAGCCAGTACACAGTCATTGGCATCAACCTTGGACCAGCTACCTTGAGCAGCTCAACTAGCAGAGTGTTTTTCATGTTTCACCCGACATTCTATACAACTTGACCGGACCCAATGTCTACTCTTACGCTGAAGCACCGGAGACAAGGCAGCCAGGCTCCACGCCGAGGGCATACGTTGTGGCGGAGTTCCACTCGTCGTTGTTTGGACACAGGGCCGTATTGCCCGTGACGGTGGGTGATGGGACGAGACTCGGGCAGTGGGAGAATGGTCCCCTCCCGCCCAGACACACCTTCACACTATGGTATCAGGCAGCGCAGGCCAGTGAGGATGCTGATAAATACTCCCAGGTGAGGAATTTGTGCATGCAACAGCATTGCGAGCCATGTTTTGTTAGAAAGCGATTCTGGACGGAAAACTTTGGACTCACATTTCGTCATACTGTACAAAGCTCGGTATACAATAAACAAGTTCACGGAAAAGAAACCCGGATTATAATATTATTTTGGGCCCTAGAGAGTGGTGGCGTTCCTGCGGATGCGGAAAACTGGGCCTTTGGCCGAGTCTCACGCGAACCGTGAATTTTTTTTTTTTTTGGGCCCTTAATAGAAAATTTATTCCATCTTTTTTAATTGAAGGATGGCGATAAACTTGTGTCGCCTCGCCGCCTGTTAAAAAAAAAATTTATTCGATTTTTATGTGTGCAGATAAGAGTAGTGGCGACATCACCATACCTACCCATTCAAGAAACGACAGGTATACGTTTGCAGTGTGTGCTAGAGTGTGTGTGTTACAATGTGTGTGTTACAATGTGTGTTACAATGTGTGTTACAATGTGTGTGTTACTTTGATTGTGGTGCAGCACACTGTGTACCTGTCTGACCACCACCACCCAGTATGTTGACATACAGTCTGGTTACAAATCACCATGACAACCATCAGTGGCTGTTACAACCTGTAAGAACCCATTCTACTATACAGAAGTAATGATCCAAAAGTTACAAACCCAAAAGTAAAGTAGAGATAGCCGGATTCGCGGCCGCATCACCCCACGTGTTCAGGAACACATCGAGTAAAGACGTTCACATTGGCGGGCCACCACTTCGCCCATTATATCCCAGTGTCGAATGCAGACCTCACAAGAGAAGGATCCAAAACAACAAGAATCACCATCATTTTCTGTAAAAGCCGGTACTTGCCACCAGCTAAGGACACTTCGCTATGCTGGTTCATCATCATGATCATCTTGCTGAGCCCCGCTGACGTCATCAGTCACATGATCATCTTGCTGAGCCCTGCTGATGTCATCATTCACGTGATCAGTCATGACTCATACGTGACAAGAAACAGTCGGTCACGCAATGATCGGCCACACACACCACGTGCGCGCATACACGCAGTCACATGCACACACAGATAGGCTTTCCCCAAATAGGCCGGCCGAAAATTTCGCCAAAAATGAGACTTTTCGAAAAATTGCTAAGCCTTTCGCCGATTTTGGAGGGTTCCTTTGAGAATTGCCGGAAATCTACCAAATTTAATGTTGTTGCAAAGTGCGCTTACGATCAGTATGAACGAATGATGTTGCTGCAAGCATGACAGGTCGAGCTATTTACTTCACTACTTGTACTGTTAGGATTTTGAGTTCGTGTGATTCGTGTCATTTGACCTCCTCTCAAACAAACATTAGCCATTAGGAAGACCGTCACTAGTAAAATCCCCAAATCGGGGCGCGAAAAAGTCGCCGAAAACGAGACTTAACGAAAAAACGCTAAGCTTTTCGCCCATTTTGGAGGGTTTCTTTGAGAATGGCCAAAACTCTACCAAATCTTCCAATATCTCACCAATCTCGAATCCGATGGGCCAACAATTCTATTAGCCCATTTCCCAATATATTCCAATTTTGCAGAACAGGCGAAAAAACGGGCCGATTTGGGGAAAGCCTACACACACACACGCATACACACACAGACATACACATACAAACAACACGTACATGCACAAAAGATCCGAAATTAAAGCGCTGTGGACCGTGGCTAGAACCAGACACCACTATTCGTTCCATATTCTGCGTAGCTTCGGTAATGATAATATTTTTTACCCGGCATGTATCACCTCTGTCCAGGTGCTGGTAATGGGCATACAGCAGTGTCTGTCACTCTAATAGCTGCAGCGGCTGGAGGACTGGCTTTCGTAATGTTCCTATCCCTCTGCATTGTGGTTCTGATACGGAGACAACGGCGCCTGGCTGGCAAAGGAAAAATGCGCCAGCCTTCCAGGAACAAGATGCTTGGCTCAAGTGCCTCTGAAGACATTAAGATACGAGACACGTCAATTTGAATCCCATATTTTGGTGTTCTTGTTTTCTATCGTTCATACAAATGATGCTTGATTTTCTGTCCCTGGTCTATAGTATAATGGAAGGCATATTGAGCACATGCACAGGGCATACCCATGCAGTGTGGTGTGAACATTACTGTACTAAACTATCTGATTACATGTATTGGCAACTTGCATCTTTCCATCTCAATAGCTCATCCAAAATGCAAGATAATCCCAGCAAATTGGAAGACCTGGCAGGTATGACATCATCATAATTATTACCCTGGTCACCAAGAGCATGTTCTTATTTTACACACAGACACTAGCTGTACGCTGCTCAGTTTACGCGCTACGCCTTCATGACCCCTACGCGTAACCTTGAGCAATTATTACACAATCATGGTTTGCCTTACTAACACACAGGTCAGTTCAGAGTCACCGGCTATCAGCTAAACCAAACTCCTAGCGTAGTTATTGTCTTTCTGATCGCATAGTCCTCTTCCTTGCACGACTGATGCACTCGGCATGTTCTACGTGTACCAGAATTGCAAATATGGACAATTGCGAATTGCAAAATTAATAATAATTATTCGTGCCTCGTTCCATCACATCATCAGCTATGTCATAACACTGACAGCCGGTAATTCATGTACCACTTACTTTTCAACCATGTGCCCACTTTGAGCAGCTCGTGAGCAACTCGTGCCAAACAATAAAGTGGTACCAGTGTACACGTAGTTCTAGTTTTTGAGCATGCACTGATTATGCTCACACTAAGTCAGACCAGTAAAATGTACTGTTGCTTGGTTGGGTCGAATAAAATCCAGTTCCATGACTAAAATTTAATTAGAGACTGACTTCACTGCACAGTCCTCTGTTCATAGTCACTTTTGGGCAGTCCCTGGACTATAAAATTCTCACAGCTGGATTTTACTTGCCACCACTGACAGTCTGTGCATTGCAACAAGAATAATAATTATTGACACCGCACAGTGGTTCCATTGCATGCAATTAATGTCATAAAGATATTATGTTCATCCCACACACACAACACGCGAATAAATGTCACGGAGTCGAGCGATTTGCCAGTCAGACAGAGTTCTCCGCATCCGTGGGAATGCCACCACCTCAAGGATCAAGGCGCAGATGCAGCTCTCCTTAATCAGTGGAAGGTGAGTAGATCCACACATGCTACATAATAATTATAACTAAAATACGGTGTAAAGTGAAGCCGAAGTAACTCATGCAAACAGTTGCGGAATGTTAACAGAAATACATTTCATTGTTCAAGAAAGGGCTTATCAAGAAGTGGAAATCAAGGAGCAAGAGAAAGGGCGGATTTGCTCTCCAAAGTGTAAGCGAATAATCAATGCTTGATCTGACTAGGTGCACACCTTAGACAACTGATGAGCCGTAGTAGCCTGTTGTGATACAACTATACGACTGTGATCTATGTTTTACCTTGGTCTCCAGTACCAATTTAATATCACACTACACGACACTGTTTGGTAATGTGCAGGCATTGAATACAAACAGATCACTCGCAATCAGACTCAAAGAAATACGAAAGAGAGACAGCCAAGATGCGCTGATACTTAAATTTCGTCAAACTTCTTTTCCAGAATTGAATTATCATGATCTTAATAAATAACTTTCAAGAATTGGACACCATTCGCAGCAAATACGGAATTGAGATAACATTTTCCGTTCCCAACATGAAACATGGATCCACAACAACAAACAGGGAGATTGACCTGTAAAGATGTGTTGCTGGTGGTGGTGCTGATGCTGATGCTGATAGCTGTGGCTAGGTTTTCTGAATACTAGCATTGAGCATGGTGCGGTTGATGTCCATGGCTGCCAGGCCACAGCACAGGATGATAGGGCCAATGACTGCGCCTTCCAGTCCAAATATGTACATGCCGCCGGCCACAGCCAAGCCGGTCAGGTATGGATGTCCACCACTGCACATATACACAGACACAACACAGACACACACAACACAAACACACACACATACACACACACACACACACACACACACACACACACACACAATACAAGACAACACACAACACGGTGAGAGCCAATCATTGAACTATATGTAGTAGTTAAAACGACAGCAGGATGCAAGCAGAGTCAACTAGTCGTGCTTGCACCCGGCAAGCTAGCTGTCCTAGCCAAGTAGAAGACGCTCAGGTTCTTCGGCCCTAGACCCCGTTTGGTTAGAGCAGCTTGTTTGCCATACACACGCATAACCATTGTTTGCTTGGTCTGCATACTTACTCCAGATACTGCATGTAGGCGCACTAACGTTAGCCATTTCTTGAAAACAAGGGGTGGAGAATGCTCATAATTATACTCTCACCCATGTGTACCCAACTCACACTGAAAAACAGCATGCATTGATAATGGGTGAGAGTAAGACCTCTGCCATTCTGAAAGAGGCGTTTGACTTTACAGCCCTGTAAACCATACTATACTATACTGTAGTAATGAGTACTATAGTACACCATACTATAGTAAGGTGTACTGTACCATACTATAGTATGGTACAGTATACCATACTATAGTATGGAGTACTATAGTATGGTAAAGTATACCATACTATAGTATCAAGTACTATAGTATGGTATACTGTAGTATGGTGTACTATAGTATATCATACTATAGTATGGTATACTATAGTACTTGATACTATAGTACTTGATACTATAGTACTTGATACTATAGTACTTGATACTATAGTACTTGATACTATAGTACTTGATACTATAGTATCAAGTACTATAGTACTTGATACTATAGTATGGTGTACTGTGGCCACATTGTTTACTCATATCACACATACAGTGACTGTGGATGGTAGCAGTACGACTATGGATGGTAGCAGTACGACTATGGATGGTAGCAGTACGACTATGGATGGTAGCAGTACGACTATGGATGGTAGCAGTACGACTATGGATGGTAGCAGTACGACTATGGATGGTAGCAGTACGACTATGGATGGTAGCAGTACGACTATGGATGGTAGCAGTACGACTATGGATGGCAGCAGTACGACTATGGATGGTAGCAGTACGACTATGGATGGTAGCAGTACGACTATGGATGGTAGCAGTACGACTATGGATGGTAGCAGTACGACTATGGATGGTAGCAGTACGACTGTGGATGGTAGCAGTACGACTGTGGATGGTAGCAGTACGACTATGGATGGTAGCAGTACGACTGTGGATGGTAGCAGTACGACTATGGATGGTAGCAGTACGACTATGGATGGTAGCAGTACGACTATGGATGGTAGCAGTACGACTATGGATGGTAGCAGTACGACTATGGATGGTAGCAGTACGACTATGGATGGTAGCAGTACGACTATGGATGGTAGCAGTACGACTATGGATGGTAGCAGTACGACTATGAATGGTAGCAGTACGACTATGGATGGTAGCAGTACGACTATGGATGGTAGCAGTACGACTATGGATGGTAGCAGTACGACTGTGGATGGTAGCAGTACGACTGTGGATGGTAGCAGTACGACTATGGATGGTAGCAGTACGACTGTGGATGGTAGCAGTACGACTATGGATGGTAGCAGTACGACTATGGATGGTAGCAGTACGACTATGGATGGTAGCAGTACGACTATGGATGGTAGCAGTACGACTATGGATGGTAGCAGTACGACTATGGATGGTAGCAGTACGACTATGGATGGTAGCAGTACGACTATGGATGGTAGCAGTACGACTATGGATGGTAGCAGTACGACTATGGATGGTCGGCGCAAAGGGGATACGGGACGTCCGCGGTAAGTGTTATGAAACATCGGCCTGCAAATGCTCAAATTTGATCTCCTTTCAAAGCCAACATTGAGACCAAAACCGGACTGGCAGGACGCCACGCTATGACACTGCAGTCCACAGATCATACAGTACATGTGACATGTCTGCCAGTAGATACACGCTCCCAAAGCAGTATCAATCTATTATAAATCCAGTGCATATTGTAAAAGACCCATACAGCACGTACCCTTTGATCTCAGAGTATATGGCCACGTCGACAACATTGTAGCAGAGAAAGTGCAGGCCGAACAGCAGTGATGCTTTGATCCAGGACTGTTGCGCAACAGCCAGGTAGAGTGATGCGGGCAGTGCTACCCAGTAGCTGCCTAGTAGAGGTATGGCGGCAAACAAAGCTGAGATTACTGCAAGTGTAAGTCAAACAACATGAACAGCACAGAACACAGAACAGTTGCATTGTCATGCTACAGTCAAGCTGGAGGAAATGCCTGAGAGTGGATCCCGTCCTGTCACCTCAGCCTCCAATACACATGTGTGTGTACATGTAGTGCAGAACAACATTGCATGATATCTACATATACTTGCACCTTAACACTTCAGAGACCATGATTATTTCAATGAATGCACTGCATATGTGTACCCAGGTATTTACTCCAGGAATGGACATAGGGAAGGGGGATGGAGAAGGGGACTGGGGGGGGGGGGGGGGGGGGGGAGCTGATTCAATACACCTGTAGTGGCTCTGTACTACAGTCTGAACAAGGTAATATCTAACAATTGGGCCACCGTGTTTCACATGTACGTACATGTAGGTAGGACACAAACAACTTCCCAGCTCAATCCCCTACTCAAACTCACCTCCATGCAATCCCCCTAGACACAAACAACTTCCCAGCTCTATCCCCTACTCAAACTCACCTCCATGCAATCCCCCTAGACACAAACAACTTCCCAGCTCTATCCCCTACTCAAACTCACCTCCATGCAATCCCCCTAGACACACACACAGAGATAGTTATAGTGCAGAAAACACCCCTTTCCCACCACACACACACAGAGATGCGACAGACATGTGATCTGCAACACACGCACGTCTGCCTCCTCCCACTCCTCCACTTCCACGAGCATCCACCACATGCGCACACAAGCATGCACGCAGACCTAAACACAGACACGGATACAGACACCCATGCCTGCCACCCCCCCCCCTCCCAAACAAACAGAATCTCCCCCCCCCCCCCCTCCCCCACACACACACATTGAGATTGGTATTGATCTACAACGCATGGGAGAAATGAGTGGCTTACCTGCCGGCGTAAAGACCACTTCAAATCCAAACAGAGTATGTGTGAAGAATGTAAACAGTCCGTAGAATGTTATCATCTTTAGAGATGCACCAAATACTCCCCTGAACAAACACAGGACCCAAGAGTTCACATACACACACGCGATTAGAAGACACACGAATGCACCCATGCAGGAAGGCACGCACACACACCACACACACATACATACACACACACACACACACCACGCACACACACACACACACACACACACACACACACACACACACACACACACACACAAACACACACACACACAGCAAAACTGTATTCAGTAGGGGTGAAACGAAGGTCTCAAATTCCCATTCGAACCTTCTTTATTAAGGCGAACGAAGGTGTCGAAGGATTCTTTTTAACATGATCACGGAAACGCTCAAAAATCTTGAAAATAAAAAGGGGCAAAAATCAGAACCCAATACTTACATTGTATGTGCAATTTGTTTCTGATCTGGTGGTATCAATGTATCCATTCCAGGTAAGAAAATACTTTGCCTGCAAGCAGCAAAACTGAGCGAAAACACGATCGAAATCGCAAAACTATACTCCTACTAGTATCGCAGAGCGCCAAACACTCGACGAATACAATCAAAACAGTCATCCATGAGTACACCATGGTAGATCTACACACCAACGCAAAACGGGAACACGCTGGTGACTGGAACAGGGCCAGTTCATCACTGACTTGTCACTTCTTCAGTTCCGGTGCGCACGCGGACCGTGCCCCTACTTGTAGTACAGCATGACTGTACAGTGCTAGTGCATGCAGTACGAGTACATCGCACAAGATCAATGCATTGATGCATGCGGTAAACCCGTGTCGACCTTCGCTCGAATCAAAAACGAAGGTTCGTTTCAAAGGAAAACGAAGGTCCTTCCAACCTTCGACTACTTCGTTTCACCCCTAGTATTCAGCACATATCCCCATTGTAAGACAGACAGTAACACTACATACCTCCAAAGATTGTGCATTTCTATCTAGTGCTGGGGTTGCAGAGTTTCACATCAAATGAAACTAGGGTATGAGCTTGTACACTGGCAAGCAGTGCAAAGTCATCAGCAAAGAGTCATACGCAAAGCAGGCATGCATAAAAAAAACCTGTAGGTACATGTATGTTGCAGGCAGCGTGTGTGTGTGTTGTCAGATGATGTGAAGTACTTCTATTGCTGACCCCATAGACTGGAGTAGCGCACACTCTAGAGGGGGTAATGTACTCTTGATGACAGTCAGGGTACTTCGTGTTACTAGAATGTCCGTACTAGAGTAGAGAGAGAGAGAGAGAGAGAGAGAGAGGGGTTCCACCGGGACTACTACATGTATAACAAATTAGCAGAAGTGAACGGTGACTTCGTGCAACCGACAGTGGCAAGGCGTACATGCTGTCACAACCGGAAAGCTATTGTTTAGCAACACTCGTTCTCACGCAGACAATCCCAGAGGCTATTAGACTGAGCATGGAAATGGGTCCTCTATGTCAAACCACCACTTGCGGTGCCATTCAGTCAAAAAGGTATTTTCCTATGCAATGTATGGGTCGTAAGCGTGAGTCGCAATTGCTCAGCCGCAAGCATGTCCCACAGCAATGCAGGCAGCTGGCACATACCAAGGCTAAGTTCACATTGCAAAAGAGTCTATGCTACTATCGTGTATGGACTGAGCAGTTAGTTTATCAGCACATGTACACATGACACAGTGTATACAATGTGTGGAGAATGTTTTCCTGCAGTACTACTACGCTACAACACATAGATTACTTACTGAACTGCATTGGATACTGAGGTAACAGCTTGTGACTTTGCACCAGCCTCCGGAGGCATTAGACTAGTCAGCCATGTCAGTGGTATGTACTGACGGTCAGATGCAGCCAGCAAGTACATCAGGGAAGTCAGGAATATCACCTGCAATAGTGCACAGTACACACACACACACACACACACACACACACACACACACACACACACACACACACACGCCATGGACCCAAGCGTCGTTGGAGAGATGTGGCAGCTTCAGACCTGAGTGCGACCGGTATCCCGGAGGCGCAATGGTACCACCTTGCTCAGGACCGGAGGGACTGGCGCGAGCGTAGCCGTCGGAAGCCACCAAGCCAGCCCCAACCAAGAGTGTTTGTCTGTGTCTGCGGCCGCGACTTTCGCCATCGGAATGATTTATGCCGACACAAGAACTACTGCCTCGCCTAATAGCTATCATCGCCTTCGGCGATGGGCTTTCCAAAGGTCCAAAGGTGTGTGTGTGTGTGTGTGTGTGTGTGTGTGTGTGTGTCCCCTACGAAGCATGCACCATTTTCTTACAAGACTTCTTCGCTAGAATGCCCATTCGGCAAATGAACGTGGAATGTGTAATACTGATTCGCACAAAGATGTATACACGTGATCTCTTTCCAAGAATTCCTGAAGGTGATTGAGAGTTTTTTCAAATTACAGCCATGTAAATGAGGAATTGAAGATAGTCTTTACAAAAAAAAGACATTGTTCAATTACTCATTTACATGGCTGTGATTGGGTCATTGGGCAGTCGAGATCAAACCAGGTTCCAGAACGTGTAATCGAACACAGCTGCACTCACAACACTCACAGCCAGGTTTAACACAGCTGTGCCGCTGTCCAGCAAGACGGAGAGTATCGCCGTCACCACGCCCATCAGTAGTTTAGCGTTGCTCTTGACAACCACCCACGCCGAGTCAAGCAGCTGTATGTAAGTATAACCAAGAGAAAGAGCAGAGACGTGACAACGAAGAAATTCCTATTGCTTTTCATAGTCTACCGTGATGTCGTGTATAAAAGCCGAGCGTATTCCTGCAGATGCCAATGGCAGTGCTAGACTTCTATTGAAATCAGGTATTTCTATTCAAACCAGGTATTTCTATTCAAATCAGGTATTTCTATTCAAATCAGGTATTTCTATTCAAATCAGGTATTTCTATTCAAATCAGGTATTTCTATTCAAATCAGGTATTTCTATTCAAATCAGGTATTTCTATTCAAATCAGGTATTTCTATTCAAATCAGGTATTTCTATTCAAATCAGGTATTTCTATTCAAATCAGGTATTTCTATTCAAATCAGGTATTTCTATTCAAATCAGGTATTTCTATTCAAATCAGGTATTTCTATTCAAATCAGGTATTTCTATTCAAATCAGGTATTTCTATTCAAATCAGGTATTTCTATTCAAATCAGGTATTTCTATTCAAATCAGGTATTTCTATTCAAATCAGGTATTTCTATTCAAATCAGGTATTTCTATTCAAATCAGGTATTTCTATTCAAATCAGGTATTTCTATTCAAATCAGGTATTTCTATTCAAATCAGGTATTTCTATTCAAATCAGGTATTTCTATTCAAATCAGGTATTTCTATTCAAATCAGGTATTTCTATTCAAATCAGGTATTTCTATTCAAATCAGGTATTTCTATTCAAATCAGGTATTTCTATTCAAATCAGGTATTTCTATTCAAATCAGGTATTTCTATTCAAATCAGGTATTTCTATTCAAATCAGGTATTTCTATTCAAATCAGGTATTTCTATTCAAATCAGGTATTTCTATTCAAATCAGGTATTTCTATTCAAATCAGGTATTTCTATTCAAATCAGGTATTTCTATTCAAATCAGGTATTTCTATTCAAGCCAGGTATTTCTATTGAAATCAGGTATTTCTATTGAAATCAGGTATTTCTATTCAAATCAGGTATTTCTATTCAAATCAGGTATTTCTATTCAAATCAGGTATTTCTATTCAAATCAGGTATTTCTATTCAAATCAGGTATTTCTATTCAAATCAGGTATTTCTATACAAATCAGGTATTTCTATTCAAATCAGGTATTTCTATTTAAATCAGGTATTTCTATTCAAATCAGGTATTTCTATTCAAATCAGGTATTTCTATTCAAATCAGGTATTTCTATTCAAATCAGGTATTTCTATTCAAATCAGGCATTTCTATTTAAATCAGGCATTTCTATTCAAATCAGGCATTTCTATTCAAATCAGGTATTTCTATTCAAATCAGGTATTTCTATTCAAATCAGGTATTTCTATTCAAATCAGGTATTTCTATTCAAATCAGGTATTTCTATTCAAATCAGGTATTTCTATTCAAATCAGGTATTTCTATTCAAATCAGGTATTTCTATTCAAATCAGGTATTTCTATTCAAATCAGGTATTTCTATTCAAATCAGGTATTTCTATTCAAATCAGGTATTTCTATTCAAATCAGGTATTTCTATTCAAATCAGGTATTTCTATTTAAATCAGGTATTTCTATTCAAATCAGGTATTTCTATTCAAATCAGGTATTTCTATTCAAATCAGGTATTTCTATTCAAATCAGGTATTTCTATTCAAATCAGGTATTTCTATTCAAATCAGGTATTTCTATTCAAATCAGGTATTTCTATTCAAATCAGGTATTTCTATTCAAATCAGGTATTTCTATTCAAATCAGGTATTTCTATTCAAATCAGGTATTTCTATTCAAATCAGGTATTTCTATTCAAATCAGGTATTTCTATTCAAATCAGGTATTTCTATTCAAATCAGGTATTTCTATTCAAATCAGGTATTTCTATTCAAATCAGGTATTTCTATTCAAATCAGGTATTTCTATTCAAATCAGGTATTTCTATTCAAATCAGGTATTTCTATTCAAATCAGGTATTTCTATTCAAATCAGGTATTTCTATTCAAATCAGGTATTTCTATTTAAATCAGGTATTTCTATTCAAATCAGGTATTTCTATTCAAATCAGGTATTTCTATTTAAATCAGGTATTTCTATTCAAACCAGGTATTTCTATTCAAATCAGGTATTTCTATTCAAATCAGGTATTTCTATTCAAATCAGGTATTTCTATTCAAATCAGGTATTTCTATTCAAATCAGGTATTTCTATTCAAATCAGGTATTTCTATTCAAATCAGGTATTTCTATTCAAATCAGGTATTTCTATTCAAATCAGGTATTTCTATTCAAATCAGGTATTTCTATTCAAATCAGGTATTTCTATTCAAATCAGGTATTTCTATTCAAATCAGGTATTTCTATTCAAATCAGGTATTTCTATTCAAATCAGGTATTTCTATTCAAATCAGGTATTTCTATTCAAATCAGGTATTTCTATTCAAATCAGGTATTTCTATTCAAATCAGGTATTTCTATTCAAATCAGGTATTTCTATTCAAATCAGGTATTTCTATTCAAATCAGGTATTTCTATTCAAATCAGGTATTTCTATTCAAATCAGGTATTTCTATTCAAATCAGGTATTTCTATTCAAATCAGGTATTTCTATTCAAATCAGGTATTTCTATTCAAATCAGGTATTTCTATTTAAATCAGGTATTTCTATTCAAATCAGGTATTTCTATTTAAATCAGGTATTTCTATTCAAATCAGGTATTTCTATTTAAATCAGGTATTTCTATTCAAATCAGGTATTTCTATTCAAATCAGGTATTTCTATTGAAATCAGGTATTTCTATTCAAATCAGGTATTTCTATTTAAATCAGGTATTTCTATTTAAATCAGGTATTTCTATTCAAATCAGGTATTTCTATTCAAATCAGGTATTTCTATTCAAATCAGGTATTTCTATTCAAATCAGGTATTTCTATTCAAATCAGGTATTTCTATTCAAATCAGGTATTTCTATTCAAATCAGGTATTTCTATTCAAATCAGGTATTTCTATTCAAATCAGGTATTTCTATTCAAATCAGGTATTTCTATTCAAATCAGGTATTTCTATTCAAATCAGGTATTTCTATTCAAATCAGGTATTTCTATTCAAATCAGGTATTTCTATTCAAATCAGGTATTTCTATTCAAATCAGGTATTTCTATTCAAATCAGGTATTTCTATTCAAATCAGGTATTTCTATTCAAATCAGGTATTTCTATTCAAATCAGGTATTTCTATTCAAATCAGGTATTTCTATTTAAATCAGGTATTTCTATTCAAATCAGGTATTTCTATTCAAATCAGGTATTTCTATTTAAATCAGGTATTTCTATTCAAATCAGGTATTTCTATTCAAATCAGGTATTTCTATTCAAATCAGGTATTTCTATTCAAATCAGGTATTTCTATTTAAATCAGGTATTTCTATTCAAATCAGGTATTTCTATTCAAGCCAGGTATTTCTATTCAAATCAGGTATTTCTATTCAAATCAGGTATTTCTATTCAAATCAGGTATTTCTATTCAAATCAGGTATTTCTATTCAAATCAGGTATTTCTATTCAAATCAGGTATTTCTATTCAAATCAGGTATTTCTATTCAAATCAGGTATTTCTATTCAAATCAGGTATTTCTATTCAAATCAGGTATTTCTATTCAAATCAGGTATTTCTATTTAAATCAGGTATTTCTATTCAAATCAGGTATTTCTATTCAAATCAGGTATTTCTATTCAAATCAGGTATTTCTATTCAAATCAGGTATTTCTATTCAAATCAGGTATTTCTATTCAAATCAGGTATTTCTATTCAAATCAGGTATTTCTATTCAAATCAGGTATTTCTATTCAAATCAGGTATTTCTATTCAAATCAGGTATTTCTATTCAAATCAGGTATTTCTATTTAAATCAGGTATTTCTATTCAAATCAGGTATTTCTATTCAAATCAGGTATTTCTATTCAAATCAGGTATTTCTATTCAAATCAGGTATTTCTATTCAAATCAGGTATTTCTATTCAAATCAGGTATTTCTATTCAAATCAGGTATTTCTATTCAAATCAGGTATTTCTATTCAAATCAGGTATTTCTATTCAAATCAGGTATTTCTATTCAAATCAGGTATTTCTATTCAAATCAGGTATTTCTATTCAAATCAGGTATTTCTATTCAAATCAGGTATTTCTATTCAAATCAGGTATTTCTATTCAAATCAGGTATTTCTATTCAAATCAGGTATTTCTATTCAAATCAGGTATTTCTATTCAAATCAGGTATTTCTATTCAAATCAGGTATTTCTATTCAAGCCAGGTATTTCTATTCAAATCAGGTATTTCTATTGAAATCAGGTATTTCTATTCAAATCAGGTATTTCTATTCAAATCAGGTATTTCTATTCAAATCAGGTATTTCTATTCAAATCAGGTATTTCTATTCAAATCAGGTATTTCTATACAAATCAGGTATTTCTATTCAAATCAGGTATTTCTATTTAAATCAGGTATTTCTATTCAAATCAGGTATTTCTATTCAAATCAGGTATTTCTATTCAAATCAGGTATTTCTATTCAAATCAGGCATTTCTATTTAAATCAGGCATTTCTATTCAAATCAGGCATTTCTATTCAAATCAGGTATTTCTATTCAAATCAGGTATTTCTATTCAAATCAGGTATTTCTATTCAAATCAGGTATTTCTATTGAAATCAGGTATTTCTATTGAAATCAGGTATTTCTATTCAAATCAGGTATTTCTATTCAAATCAGGTATTTCTATTCAAATCAGGTATTTCTATTCAAATCAGGTATTTCTATTGAAATCAGGTATTTCTATTTAAATCAGGTATTTCTATTCAAATCAGGTATTTCTATTCAAATCAGGTATTTCTATTGAAATCAGGTATTTCTATTCAAATCAGGTATTTCTATTCAAATCAGGTATTTCTATTGAAATCAGGTATTTCTATTTAAATCAGGTATTTCTATTCAAATCAGGTATTTCTATTCAAATCAGGTATTTCTATTCAAATCAGGTATTTCTATTCAAATCAGGTATTTCTATTCAAATCAGGTATTTCTATTCAAATCAGGTATTTCTATTCAAATCAGGTATTTCTATTCAAATCAGGTATTTCTATTTAAATCAGGTATTTCTATTCAAATCAGGTATTTCTATTTAAATCAGGTATTTCTATTCAAATCAGGTATTTCTATTCAAATCAGGTATTTCTATTCAAATCAGGTATTTCTATTCAAATCAGGTATTTCTATTCAAATCAGGTATTTCTATTCAAGCCAGGTATTTCTATTCAAATCAGGTATTTCTATTGAAATCAGGTATTTCTATTGAAATCAGGTATTTCTATTCAAATCAGGTATTTCTATTCAAATCAGGTATTTCTATTCAAATCAGGTATTTCTATTCAAATCAGGTATTTCTATTCAAATCAGGTATTTCTATACAAATCAGGTATTTCTATTCAAATCAGGTATTTCTATTTAAATCAGGTATTTCTATTCAAATCAGGTATTTCTATTCAAATCAGGTATTTCTATTCAAATCAGGTATTTCTATTCAAATCAGGCATTTCTATTTAAATCAGGCATTTCTATTCAAATCAGGCATTTCTATTCAAATCAGGTATTTCTATTCAAATCAGGTATTTCTATTCAAATCAGGTATTTCTATTGAAATCAGGTATTTCTATTGAAATCAGGTATTTCTATTCAAATCAGGTATTTCTATTCAAATCCGGTATTTCTATTCAAATCAGGTATTTCTATTCAAATCAGGTATTTCTATTCAAATCAGGTATTTCTATTCAAATCAGGTATTTCTATTTAAATCAGGTATTTCTATTCAAATCAGGTATTTCTATTCAAATCAGGTATTTCTATTCAAATCAGGTATTTCTATTCAAATCAGGTATTTCTATTCAAATCAGGTATTTCTATTGAAATCAGGTATTTCTATTTAAATCAGGTATTTCTATTCAAATCAGGTATTTCTATTCAAATCAGGTATTTCTATTCAAATCAGGTATTTCTATTCAAATCAGGTATTTCTATTCAAATCAGGTATTTCTATTCAAATCAGGTATTTCTATTCAAATCAGGTATTTCTATTCAAATCAGGTATTTCTATTCAAATCAGGTATTTCTATTCAAATCAGGTATTTCTATTCAAATCAGGTATTTCTATTCAAATCAGGTATTTCTATTTAAATCAGGTATTTCTATTCAAATCAGGTATTTCTATTTAAATCAGGTATTTCTATTCAAATCAGGTATTTCTATTCAAATCAGGTATTTCTATTCAAATCAGGTATTTCTATTCAAATCAGGTATTTCTATTCAAATCAGGTATTTCTATTCAAATCAGGTATTTCTATTTAAATCAGGTATTTCTATTCAAATCAGGTATTTCTATTTAAATCAGGTATTTCTATTCAAATCAGGTATTTCTATTCAAATCAGGTATTTCTATTCAAATCAGGTATTTCTATTCAAATCAGGTATTTCTATTCAAATCAGGTATTTCTATTCAAGCCAGGTATTTCTATTCAAATCAGGTATTTCTATTGAAATCAGGTATTTCTATTAAAATCAGGTATTTCTATTCAAATCAGGTATTTCTATTCAAATCAGGTATTTCTATTCAAATCAGGTATTTCTATTCAAATCAGGTATTTCTATACAAATCAGGTATTTCTATTCAAATCAGGTATTTCTATTTAAATCAGGTATTTCTATTCAAATCAGGTATTTCTATTCAAATCAGGTATTTCTATTCAAATCAGGTATTTCTATTCAAATCAGGCATTTCTATTTAAATCAGGCATTTCTATTCAAATCAGGCATTTCTATTCAAATCAGGTATTTCTATTCAAATCAGGTATTTCTATTCAAATCAGGTATTTCTATTCAAATCAGGTATTTCTATTGAAATCAGGTATTTCTATTCAAATCAGGTATTTCTATTCAAATCAGGTATTTCTATTCAAATCAGGTATTTCTATTCAAATCAGGTATTTCTATTCAAATCAGGTATTTCTATTGAAATCAGGTATTTCTATTTAAATCAGGTATTTCTATTCAAATCAGGTATTTCTATTGAAATCAGGTATTTCTATTGAAATCAGGTATTTCTATTCAAATCAGGTATTTCTATTCAAATCAGGTATTTCTATTTAAATCAGGTATTTCTATTTAAATCAGGTATTTCTATTCAAATCAGGTATTTCTATTCAAATCAGGTATTTCTATTCAAATCAGGTATTTCTATTCAAATCAGGTATTTCTATTCAAATCAGGTATTTCTATTCAAATCAGGTATTTCTATTCAAATCAGGTATTTCTATTCAAATCAGGTATTTCTATTCAAATCAGGTATTTCTATTCAAATCAGGTATTTCTATTCAAATCAGGTATTTCTATTTAAATCAGGTATTTCTATTCAAATCAGGTATTTCTATTTAAATCAGGTATTTCTATTCAAATCAGGTATTTCTATTCAAATCAGGTATTTCTATTGAAATCAGGTATTTCTATTCAAATCAGGTATTTCTATTCAAATCAGGTATTTCTATTCAAATCAGGTATTTCTATTCAAATCAGGTATTTCTATTGAAATCAGGTATTTCTATTGAAATCAGGTATTTCTATTTAAATCAGGTATTTCTATTCAAATCAGGTATTTCTATTCAAATCAGGTATTTCTATTCAAATCAGGTATTTCTATTCAAATCAGGTATTTCTATTCAAATCAGGTATTTCTATTGAAATCAGGTATTTCTATTTAAATCAGGTATTTCTATTCAAATCAGGTATTTCTATTCAAATCAGGTATTTCTATTCAAATCAGGTATTTCTATTCAAATCAGGTATTTCTATTCAAATCAGGTATTTCTATTCAAATCAGGTATTTCTATTCAAATCAGGTATTTCTATTCAAATCAGGTATTTCTATTCAAATCAGGTATTTCTATTCAAATCAGGTATTTCTATTCAAATCAGGTATTTCTATTCAAATCAGGTATTTCTATTCAAATCAGGTATTTCTATTTAAATCAGGTATTTCTATTCAAATCAGGTATTTCTATTTAAATCAGGTATTTCTATTCAAATCAGGTATTTCTATTCAAATCAGGTATTTCTATTGAAATCAGGTATTTCTATTCAAATCAGGTATTTCTATTCAAATCAGGTATTTCTATTCAAATCAGGTATTTCTATTCAAATCAGGTATTTCTATTCAAATCAGGTATTTCTATTCAAATCAGGTATTTCTATTCAAATCAGGTATTTCTATTCAAATCAGGTATTTCTATTCAAATCAGGTATTTCTATTCAAATCAGGTATTTCTATTTAAATCAGGTATTTCTATTTAAATCAGGTATTTCTATTCAAATCAGGTATTTCTATTCAAATCAGGTATTTCTATTCAAATCAGGTATTTCTATTCAAATCAGGTATTTCTATTCAAATCAGGTATTTCTATTCAAATCAGGTATTTCTATTTAAATCAGGTATTTCTATTCAAATCAGGTATTTCTATTCAAATCAGGTATTTCTATTCAAATCAGGTATTTCTATTCAAATCAGGTACTTCTATTCAAATCAGGTATTTCTATTCAAATCAGGTATTTCTATTGAAATCAGGTATTTCTATTCAAATCAGGTATTTCTATTGAAATCAGGTATTTCTATTCAAATCAGGTATTTCTATTGAAATCAGGTATTTCTATTCAAATCAGGTATTTCTATTCAAATCAGGTATTTCTATTCAAATCAGGTATTTCTATTCAAATCAGGTATTTCTATTCAAATCAGGTATTTCTATGTATGTGAACACTACTCTGAGTATAACCTTTGTGTCCACTCACTGCTTACACGTATGACAACACTAAAGCTAACTGCTAGGCTTATAGGCCGACGGTGCATCTTGAAAACTGTACTCTTGCTGTTGTTGTATTTCGAGTCGGAGAACAAAAGCTGAATACAGGCTTCTATCCTTCCAGGCCCGGAGCCAGCTCCTGAGGGGTGCTACGGGCCCAGGCCGACTGCAGGGCCGATCATTTACCCAGGCCCGGCTTTGATTCACGGGAGGATGAATCTCTAGCACTATGCTGAATTGCACCTGGCTGTTCCAGTTACACTATGACATGCCGATATTGACAGATACATGTCCATTGCATGTAGTTAGCAGAGTAGTTCTTACTGGGCACAGAGAACAGTTTAGGAGAGAGTGAGTGAGAGAGAGAGAGAGACAGGGAGAGAGAGAGAGAGAGAGAGAGAGAGAGAGAGAGAGACTCCGCAACGAGCAGCCGTGTAGCCGCAATGGGTCAGGGCGCACGTGCCCCCCCCCCCCCGACTAAAAATGTTGGACCTAGGTTCAGCAAGCACATAATTACCATGAATAACATGTACCAACCATCATACACATATGCAGTCGTGCAATCCTCCACCCCCCCCCCCCCCCCCCCTAGAAAAGGGAGACCAACCCCTGACGAGGATAGTTGTTCAGTGCTTTCCATATAATTGATCATACACGGACAATCCATGAAGCTGGAATTGGCAAACACTGGTACGGCCATGGCCGCACCAGCCATACCTTCCAAAACGAAAAAAAGAATAATAAATAAAAGTGGTCACTTACCGTATGCAATGTTCCCATATTGCTACTGACGGTAGTAAATACTGATGTCATGTTGATCTGAGAAGACACTTCACTGGCACTCAGTCCACTCACATTACTACACCCAACCACACTCTACCATAATACAGCACATGCACACACACACACACACAACACACCCAAACAGAAAGACAAACCAGAAGTTAAACAGATACAGAAGTAACCCCAGGGAACATTACACACGATCCAATCTAAGACCAAGTTTGAGTAAGTCCTTTCTAGGCATTATGCCTAGGCCACGGTATTGGAGCCAGCTTGACTTCCCTGGCTTTAGGAGCTGCATCTGTGCCTTGATCCACAGAGGGTGGTGGTGTTCCTACGGATGCGGATAACTTGCCCTCCAGCCTAGTCTCACATGAACAGTGTATTTATAGGATTACAACAACATGCACTGCAAGGAGAAACATCAACACTTTAACAACATGTTTTGAAAGCCTATGTTGATTGGTCAAATAACAACCTCTCAATTACTTGCTTCTCAATCAAATACTCAGTCAAAGAGCTGAGAACAAAATATATACATCGATTAACAGATAAAAATAAATAAATAAAAAATAAAAAATTCGACGTGTGCGCGTACCGGGCAGGTCAAGAACAAGGAGTCGTACAACTCCCTGGTCAAGAACCACCTTTCCGCTTCCGATTGACAGATGCCATGACAAAAATAAGTTCAGTTCTGGTCAGAGAAATTCAACCTCAAAGAATAAAGTAGCGCCGCGTTCACGTGCACAGACGAGTGTGTGTGTTTGTGAAGTTGTAGAGGTGTGTAGCGGCCGACACGGTATTACTCTCGAGTTTGGATTTAAAGGGGCAGTTAAGGCAAAAATTAAAATTTCACCAGTTGTAGTCTTCGGGGTGCTGAGTCGAATGGTCTTGGTCCGAGAAAGCTGAGACGCTCCCTTCCTACTTGAATCCCAATCGAACTCGCGCACTTCCACCGAAACCGGGTGACTGCGCCCTACGAGATGGGGATTTGTATGCAAAATGTCACTAAAAGCGCCATTTCGTTCTTATAAAAGCACTGATGACCGCGATTGGCCCATATGTTGTAGTCTTTTGGACGCTGAGTCGACTGGTTTCGGTCCGAAAAGGCTGCGATGCAGCGTTCGCCCCTAATTCCCAATCGAACATGGTTGAACAAGCGGTCACGTGCTCCTGCGTACACCAGTCACCTGGTCACCGTGCCTGCAGGGTACAACTTACAGCCTGTTTTGACCTTTTTTGGGTGCAGTCCTGTCACTCGAGTTGAACCTTGGTGTGAAAGTTGTCGCCTGCTGGCGTGGTGACCAGGTGATTTTGGCACCCAGGAGCACGTGACCGCTTGTTCAACCATGTTCGATTGGGAATTAGGGGCGAACGCTGCATCGCAGCCTTTTCGGACCGAAACCAGTCGACTCAGCGTCCAAAAGACTACAACATATGGGCCAATCGCGGTCATCCGTGCTTTTATAAGAACGAAATGGCGCTTTTAGTGACATTTTGCATACAAATCCCCATCTCGTAGGGCGCAGTCACCCAGTTTCGGTGGAAGTGCGCGAGTTCGATTGGGATTCAAGTAGGAAGGGAGCGTCTCAGCTTTCTCGGACCAAGACCATTCGGCTCAGCACCCCGAAGACTACAACTGGTGAAATGTTGATTTTTGCCTTAACTTCCCCTTTAACAGGCTCTGGCCAGTACTGTCCTTATACAAGTATAGTCATGTAGATACCGCAACACACAGTAATGCATGGACCACAGTAATGCATGGACCACAGTAATGCATGGCCCACAGTAATGCATGGACCACAGTAATGCATGGACCACAGTAATGCATGGACCACAGTAATGCATGGCCCAAAATAATGCATGGCCCACAGTAATGCATGGACAACAGTAATGCATGGCCCACAGTAATGCATGGACCACAGTAATGCATGGAACACAGTAATGCATGGACCACAGTAATGCATGGACCACAGTAATGCATGGACCACAGTAATGCGTGGCCCACAGTAATGCATGGACCACAGTATGCATGGCCCACAGTATGCATGGACCACAGTAATGCATGGACCACAGTAATGCATGGCCCACAGTAATGCATGGAACACAGTAATGCATGGACCACAGTAATGCATGGACCACAGTAATGCATGGACCACAGTAATGCATGGCCCACAGTAATGCATGGACCAAAGTAATGCATGGACCACAGTAATGCTTGGACCACAGTAATGCATGGCCCACAGTAATGCTTGGACCACAGTAATGCATGGCCCACAGTAATGCATGGCCCACAGTAATGCATGGCCCACAGTAATGCATGGCCCACAGTAATGCATGGCCCACAGTAATGCATGAACCACAGTGATGCATGAACCACAGTTATGCATGGACCACAGTAATGCATGGACCACAGTAATGCATGGACCATAGTAATGCATGGACCACAGTAATGCATGGACCACAGTAATGCATGGCCCACAGTAATGCATGGCCCACAGTAATGCATGGACCACAGTAATGCATGGCCCACAGTGGTGTGGCCAACTACAGTTCTGGTAACTGAAATCAGACCCCCTGAGCGGGTCTAGCAGTATCTGTTTCGTAGTGTTACCATCCCGTGTTGGGTCTTTGCGATGTGAGCGCACCGCTCAGGGGTCGGATTTCAGTTGCTAGCACTGTAGTTCATGACATAGGCAATAAATCAGGTAATTTGGTCAACACAATTCATCAACTGCATCATGCAGCTGTACATCCCCTGAGTCTTCCTCTAATAGAAATGACGGTGGACAAGATCCGAACAAAACAGATCAAGTAGTGTCTCTGGCAAAGCACACGCACACACGCACGTGCACACACACACATATAAACACACGCACGCACACATACACACACACACACACACACACACACACACACACACACACACACACAGGCTTACTTCATTTGTCCATAGTCGCACAAGCTGATCCCAGGCAAGCGTTAGCTGATCCTCGATATCATCGTTATCGCTGGATACCACAGATCTGACCTGGCAAGCAGAGCAATTATACGCATATGGCTACAAATAGGTGCTGCTGCTGTGAACAGCACAATACGTGGACATATACGCAATCTAACCCCCCCCCCCCCTCTAATGGTAAACTATTGTGTCCATTCCCGAAGGGAACTCACGACGGCCGCTAACACCCGGTAAACCCTGAACAGCACAATTCGTGGACATACACGCAATCCCCTCCCCTTGATGGTTCTGTGCAATCCCCTCCCCTTGTGGGTACCAAAGCCAGTCCAGTAGGCTCGGCTCAAGCCGGACCAATAGCCTGGTTGAGTTTTTCTCCTCAGCCACCCACATAGTGAAAATTGTTTTGAGTTCTTCTAACATTTCGCATAGTGCAGTGGTGGCAAATGGCAAACGACACGAATTGGCTTGATTTTTCAAGAATCCACAGAGGGAGGTCCCCCCTTTAATACATCATTTGGGTGAAGCTGCACGAATCGATAATAGCTTCTGATGCACATGCCCCCCCCCCCCCCCCAACAAAACACATGTGAATACACACCACCCCCCCCCCCCCTCCCTCCCTCCCTCCCTTCCCACACACGTACGCACTCACACACCAGGGAATCCAGTGTCCCTCATTGAGGAGACGGAACGATACCTACCCCGGTGCGTATCCAATTTCGACCTTGCTGATGTGCTTGTTCCTTCATGCTTTGTAACATACCCGTGGCATTGCCTTCCCCCTGCCACATACTTCAGCAAAGAAAATATGCAGTGCGCCACAAGCACAAATACACACACGTACACGCACACACACACACACACACACACACACACACACACACACACACACACACACACACACACACACACACACACACACACACACACACACACACACACACACACACACACACACACACACACACACACACACAAACACACACTTGTACTTGTCACTGCCTAAAGTGGTCACGTGGGTCTCCCTGGGAGAGGGGAGAGAGACTCAAAAGGAATCTTGGAAAGATGACTCCATTGGCTTTTGAACCGCCCAACGGCCGACACCCCCTGAAATCCCCAAAAACTCTGGGTGGACTTGAAAATGATCCCACTTATGGTCTCACCACACCTCAGTAAGTGGATGAGGACAAGGTGCAGAAAAAGGATTGACGGCATCAGGGTATCCGTCCCGGGATCCAACTGCAGTTACCCCTGCCCCCAGTGAAGGTAATACTTGCTACTAGTGCATACCTGCCAAGCACTGAGAGTGCTTATCCCGAAAAACCATGGCAAAATCCCGGGATTTGCCTTGTTTTTTCGGGATATGTCGTATTTTTTCCAAAAAAAACCTTTTCAACTTTTGATGGCACCAGCATTTCGATAATAGATGATTGATGGTGATCATCGGATCACACTTACGCATGCTCAAGACTCAAAAATGGAGGGCTTTCAGGGACTGTTTATGGAAGGAGCACCAGTGTGCTGCAGGCTATGGCGGTCCGGAGTCAATAAGGACAACTACTGGCCTGTGACAAGTCATGTGAAGTGTTCCAAGTACAATATCAAGCTTGTTTCTTGTACAGTGAATTTCGGGATCGCGGGAGTTCATCCCAAATTGCGGGATAATCCCGAAAATCTGGATACTTAGCAGGTATGCTAGTGTGGGTGGCTAAATCAGAGTGAGTCTGATACAAGCTTCACTAGCACCATGATTACACAAGAGTTAATCTAGCCAGAAGTAGTCCATGGTTAACAGGTATGTATACTTCAAATAGAAAGTATATGAACCCTGAAACCAACAAAGGTGGTAGGTACAACTTTACACCTTCAAGCAGCCGAGCCCGTTGGCAACAGACCCAACACTATCCGGCATAAGTGTACCCACCAGCCAAACTAGCTGGCACAAACACACACACACACACACACATACACACACACACATACACACTCACACACACACACACACACACACACACACACACACACACACACACACACACACACACACCGACTGGCTCTTTGTTACACTGTGCACTGTTCCAGGTCATACAAATCCCTGGGCAAGTCTACCAACACAGTCCCACAGCCAGGGAACAAGACAATCTTTTGAACACAATTTCAAGCAGAGCAATTCCGGCACTAGCTGGAACTTGCCGTACCGCTCACCTTCTCAACTCTGGATACATCTCAATGACGTGCTGTCCAAGAGTGGTGCTTTGTTGAATGATGTGGCCACTCTCACTTTGTACCTGCGCGCCATCACCATCCGCAACAAATACAAAACAAACTGAGCAACTGAATGCTGAGCACATAAAACAGTTCAGTGGAAACTGAGTAGCGAAAACTGGGCAGGGGAACTGGGCAGGGGAACTGGGCAGGGAGAACTATGTAGTGGCAGGAACCGGAGCAGAACCATGTCAGAAGTGTTAAGACTATGTGAGATGCTAATCCAGCCCCCGAAAATTTATCTCTGACAGCTCTCTGAGAGGCTTGGCAGTCATGTAATCAAACTTATCATCTACAGTGCCACCATTAACACGCAGACTTTGACTTAAAGTCTGCGTGTAAACGCATTCTGATGCTTCCGATTGGAGACTGGACATTACAATTCATTTCAGCGTGGCCATGTGTTACAGTCGCCTTGCTCCTTTCTACAATCTTAAATCCCTCCTCGCCAATACTTCTTTCTTCCAGCTAGTGTGCAACCACATGCACTTATCTAAAAACTACTATGACAGCAGAATTGCTGGGCGCATTTACACACTTCATGCATATCTATAGCCAGTGCAGCACTTTAGAGTACCGAATGGGGACTAAAGTGGAAGTGACTGAAGAAGCTTATAGAACAGAAAAAGGACCAAGGAACTACAAGTTACGCTATACGCTATACGCGACTGGAGAAGCTTTTGTGAAGTAAGGGATATGAGTCAATCAAGTTGTAAATCGCTTTGAAAAATCGTTCACTACATGAGGCTTGCCCTGCTGGGCTGTGAGCCGTACCTGAACAGCCAAGAAGAATGCCATCAGGAGAGTGGTGACACACAACACTAGGATCGACAGCAAGGACACAAACTTGTCCGTTGTCGACAGCAGACCACTGACTATCTGAAAACAAGTGATGAGAAAAGTGGAGAAACCAGCGGCGGAGAGAGAGAGAGAGACGAGAGAGAGAGAGACAGAGAGAGAGAGAGAGAGAGAGAGAGAGAGAGAGAGAGAGAGAGAGAGAGAGAGCGAGAGAGAGAAAGAGAGAGAGAGAGGGAGAGAGAGAGCGAGAGAGAGAAAGAGAGAGAGAGAGGGAGAGAGAGAGGGAGAGAGAGAGGGAGAGAGAGAGAGACATTGTGACTGTTGAAGGACAATTCTAATCTGTGGCAAAAGAAGCATGTGATGGAAAACACAGGACACAGATACAATATGAACAATTCGTTCATAGAACACTTAAAAGCAGACTTCCAACTGATTTTTCCTCCAAAATTGTATGACCTGCATCTGCATCTGCATCTGTACCTGCATCAGTTTGTGGATCAACACGTGCAACCAAATTCTTTAACTTAATTGACTTTAACATAAGCCAATCAAGCAATATCATTTGATACCATAAAAATGCTGACACTGCATTTTACATACCTTCTTGTCTGCTTGGCTGATAAATCTGAGGATAGCCCGCATTGGTGGAGGCATGAGCGCATCTCGACGCGAGTGTATCCATGTACCGATCAAGTGCAGGGGTCTGGAAAGCTGCAAAATGTGCCACAGAAATACAGCATGAGACTATGTCTTGGGGGGGGGGGGGGGGATCTAATGCCCACTCAAACACACACACACACACACACAAACACATCTCTCCTCCCCACACACGCAAATACACAAATACACGCATATCTCTCTTGCAAATGCCGCCTCGCCTATTGAATAATCTGCGAGGAGATAATAGTTTTAATAGAGCTATGATTAAAATGAAGGCCGCAGACATTGCGCAACTCAGTTACTTGTTTGACATGTATGTGTATTTAATAAGTATATAACAACAATAATTCCCAAGCTCTACCTGTAGGAATATTCAAACATTACACCCTCCACCAAGACCCCCCCCCCACACACACACACATACACACACAAGACTCGCGTAAGTGCATTTTAGCACAACGAAAGAGACCATTTTATGTTGACAGTTTCTTGCTTTCAAAGCACAGTGTCAAATGTCTAACCAGAGTAGAGAAATGTAATACAGGGCTGTATACTAACATAGACAATGGTGTCTGCGTGTTTCATATGCAACCAAATAACTGCAGTATTGGGTATAAGAAAGCTCACAGGGCAATAAAAACCTCTCCAAATCCAGTAACCATTTGACTCTATACTTCAACCTCACGAACAATTACACGATTCTACTACCTGATCGATTGTCGTTACTCGCAACGCCAACTGTTCAATGCGTGCTCCCTAGCCCACAACAATATATATATATTTTTTACCACATCTCCTGGCTCGCTGAAAGACTGCCAAAAATGAGAATGAGATATGTTTTCGTGTAAATTTGTATTTATGGACTCTCCACAGGCCCTGGCCTAAGCCGGGGGGAGTCTCCGAGATAAAGGCGGCGACCAGCCACGGCTAACTAATTCGCAACTCACCAGCTGGCGGGTGGTGTCAACAATGCTGAATCGCTCCAGGATGAGTCGTACCACAATCAACGTGGCAGGGATGAGCAGCAAGCACAGCAGCCACGGGAACTTGTAGAGCATGAGCGTAAGGCAGCACCATACAACGGCGTAAAAGTAGCCACCGCTGTGTTCCAACTCAGGACCAATGAACTCCTGGAATACACTGCGATTGCGACGCGCACGGTTGCTCCAAGAGCGACGCAGTTCGTAGCTGGTGGGAGAGTCGCGTCCTGTTCACACACACACACACACACACACACACACACACACACACACACACACACACACACACACACACACACACACACACATTTGTGCGTGCATGTGCACCCACGCACACACATTTGTGCATGCACGTGCACCTACGCACACATGCACACATACAAACACATAAACAGACACGCACACACAAAGACATACACACATACCAACATGAAAGTACCACACTCAGCACTGCTCCCTAACTGTAACGCATCACGTCTGCATCACGTCTGCATCACGTCTGCATCACGTCTGCATCACGTCTGCATCACGTCTGCATCACGTCTGCATCACGTCTGCATCACGTCTGCATCACGTCTGCACAATGTCCCATGCCTGTGATGTGCTATACAGTAAAAACACAGTTCACTGGAAAAGAAGGGAATTCGCAGTCATTGAAACAGGACACAATGTTCTGGAGTGAATACCAACGCATATTTCATGACTTTAAATCTCCCATCTCACAGGCTTGTCAAGCCGGGAGTCGTACAATCTAGGAAGACGACATAGGACAGTCGTACAATCTAGGAAGACGACATAGGACAGTCGTACAATCTAGGAAGGCGACATAGGACAGTCGTACAATCTAGGAAGACGACATAGGACAGTCGTACAATCTAGGAAGACGACATAGGACAGTCGTACAATCTAGGAAGACGACATAGGACAGTCGTACAATCTAGGAAGGCGACATAGGACAGTCGTACAATCTAGGAAGACGACATAGGACAGTCGTACAATCTAGGAAGACGACATAGGACAGTCGTACAATCTAGGAAGACGACATAGGACAGTCGTACAATCTAGGAAGACGACATAGGACAGTCGTACAATCTAGGAAGACGACATAGGACAGTCGTACAATCTAGGAAGACGACATAGGACAGTCGTACAATCTAGGAAGACGACATAGGACAGTCGTACAATCTAGGAAGACGACATAGGACAGTCGTACAATCTAGGAAGACGACATAGGACAGTCGTACAATCTAGGAAGACGACATAGGACAGTCGTACAATCTAGGAAGACGACATAGGACAGTCGTACAATCTAGGAAGACGACATAGGACGATCAAAGTACCCTATACTGCATGTAACATGCGATTGCAATTCAGGACTTGACCAAGTAAATCCTAATGCATTCCATACAAATAAACGAAGCCATGGGCACACAGATGTGAGCCAAGTCGGACCTAATCCAAGAGCGACTGTAATGGGCCGGAATCAAAACCCACATCAGTTCACGTTCCAGGTGCCTGTGTTGTCTCCCTAGACGCTACGACTCCATGAGTTCAACCCACATGTCTGCAACCTCATCTAAAGTAGGTGTTTATGCACACATGCATGCTCAAGAAGGCGCTCACTACATCATCAGCACACATGCATACACACGTGAGCACTATCCACACGCGGTTGACTGAATGGCTACTCGCTCCACACTGCCATGTATGCACATTGTCCTGTCAGCACTACCCACACTTTTACAAAGAGAGCTACTTGCTCCGAAGTACTGTACCTGGAGAGGATGGGGGCACGGGTCGTGCATCAGTTTCGTCATGCGACAGTGATGACAGCAGCAACTCGGAAGCCTGTTCTTCCTCTTGATCTTCATCTTCATCATCATGCTGCTCTGCAGAGGTAAGGAAAATGGGGAGATAAAAAAACCGAAAAAAGGTAAATTATCGCGTCCGTTCCCGAAGGGAACTCACGACGGCCGCTAACACCCGGTAAACCATAGCGGCAGACACAGAGCCTAAAGGTGGAGGTGAGTGGATAAGTCTCACAACCATTGGCACAAATACCGAGAAACGGGAAGATAGGTACATGGAATATACACATTGAGACTAAGGGGCAAACGCAGTCAATTTGTCACAGCCACAAACAATGCTCTAGAGGGATAACTAGATGTCGGTTCCGGGAAATTGTGATTCACTGCTGACCTATTCCAGACTAAAGGAAATCAAGAATTCGCATCACCAACAGCAGCTCATTCTCATACTGTCCTGATGCTGCTCTCAGTATTTGTCTCTGTATCTCTATCTCTTTCCATCTCACAAATAGTACCTCTTTTGGAAAAATAATTGTTGTACAATGTCAGCAAAATGTCCGGCAAGATCCACCAGCAGAATGAATTTGAAGACTCCACTGCAGCCGCATTTGCTGTTAGATAAGATGTAGGCGAAGAGACTCAAGACACACCCTGCATTATGGCGATAAACACACGCCAACCGCAAACACCTCTCTAAGCTGAAAAGTTACGCTCCGGCATAGAGAGTCTTCTTCTCACAACCACCGCCATCAGTTCGCTCCTGGTTGATGCATGGCGGGTGAAAGCGGACATAGCAGGCTGGCGCATAAGATAGTGCTTGACAAGGCGCGAGAATCGAACCGATATACAGTTGCGTTTGGTAAAATCCGACCCAACGTGCAAAGCTGTCGCCCTGGACCATTTTTGATTACATCATTGTACAATGAAAATTGTGCACATCAAGCAGCATTCGGGTCACTTCCATGGCGTCAAGGGCCGTGCAAGTTGAGGGCGCGAAATATACCCTTTGGGTCAGATTTCATGGAGTACTACTTTACCAGGGTGCAGCTTTGCAGCCTACACAGCCTGGGTGTGCCAGGCATGTGCAGACCGTCATTTTACCAGGTGTGTCGCTACCGCTATACTATTCAACCATGGCTCATCAGCAGGACGAAACCTAGAGAAATGGATGAGACAAAGTGACAGGACACAGGTGCAGCGGTGGCCCAATAAATCTGACCCACATGCCGAAAGCAGTACCAAGGCTCATGTGGCAGCCGCAGCCCTCGCATCGGCTTATAGGGCTTGAAAGTGATGACGTCAAAACGGCCAGGGAGTAGTAAGTTGACATCAGATTTCTAATTTTGGATCCACTAAGGTGTGACTTTGCTATTGCCTAAGTATGTGGGTGCATAGCAACCCACTCATGTCGCATGCAGGTGTGACTTTTATTTCGCCACCAGTTGTAACCCCGCCCCCAGTAGCCAGATAAGTCAGTTTCACTGGCTTCATCACCATGCTGTGGGTAAGACCGCTTGAAATGTGCTTGGATCCATACAAAAACTGGATCCAAGTGGATCCAGTTTTTGAATTTTTGAAATTGTTGCTATGCTGTGACGTAGCACTTTCAAGCCCTATTGGACCGTGTATGACGAAATTGAATAGGAAACTTGACGATACTTTCGACTCGCGGGCCAGATTTATTTGGCCCCGACTGTATAAGAATACCAGTAGCAAAGAAATTTCTTATTTCACCAGGCTGTCCAGCTAGTGCACCTAGAAGACACAACGATGTCACAAGGATGAAGAGTGAGAGTCGATACGATGGCACCAGAGTAGCAAGGTAGAGCAGAATGGTGAACCAGACGATGGAGGACAGGTGACGCATCACGTGCCGTGTCCGGCCCGACCAGAAGAAGACAATGAGCACCGCGTAGCCCGCAATGACCATCCCCACCTGCCTTGGAGCACACCAACATGAACATTGTGCTGCAATTAATACGTTGAACGACAATAGTACAGTCGTCCCTCTCTAATCCGGCACTTTATAATCCAGCACCCTCGATAAACCAGCACAATTTTCAGTAGCCAAAATGTCCTCTTCATGCACATTGCAGCAGTAAATCAGATTTGTTAATCCAGCACCCTCCCTAATCCAGCAGATTTTCGTGACACAAATGGTGCCGGATTATAGAGGGACCACTGTATTACAATTTTAAGAGAGGATCATAACTTAACAAATTATCCGTTTTGTCCAACACTAACGGTTATAAGCAGAGTCAAAAATGTACAACAATTACTGGAATTACTTGACTCAACAGTATGCTGCTTGTAATCGTTAGTGTTGGACAAAACGGATAACGTGTAAACTTATGATCCTCCTTTTAAATTTTAATCCTTGCCTCTCCATCCGAGTTAAATCGACAATATTATTGCTTCTCGATTGACGTAGCTGGATCGTGTGATGGCTAGGCAGCCCGGGGGATTACTGATTTGTAGGGATGTGTTGTGTCACTGACTGTGAGTAAACAACTGAACACCGTATTCCCTGGAATATATGCCGCACGGGAGTATAAGCGGTACCCCATTGTTTTGGGCACGAAATACAGATGTCTACCTTATTTATCACCGTTAAATTGATCATCGGAGTAGAAGCCCCCCCCCCCCCCTTTTCGGGGGAGGGTGAATTTTGAGTGTTCCAAGTGCGGCTTATACTCCGTAAATATACGGCAACTAGAGAGTCAAAATGTTCCGAGTTATGACTAACTGTCCACCAACGTAACCAGATCTTATACAGTCAGCCATACGGTCATAACTCGTAACATTTTGTCCTTCTCCTTTTTCACCATAATTTAATTGGCTCACCATCCGAGTTCAACTAGAGAGTCCATTGCATTATCACAACACACTCACCAGATAAATGTAACCGTAAACTCTGACGAACTCCATGAAGTGCGATGCTGTGTCTAGACCCTCAATAGAGCGTTGCAGCGCAGCGAACACTGGCAAGTGATTGAGAATGTAAACACATGTCAGCAGGCCCGCCATGCACGCCATGGCCTTCCACTGACGATACAGAACATCCTGCGACGTACGACAGGCCAGGCCAGGCCAGGAAATGCAGCGGCAGCACGATTATTCCCAGCCACAGTGGTGTGTTGCTAATCTGCATGAGCCCGAGCCTCGCGTTCAGGACGTGCGTGCTGCGATGCTTGATCGGGAACAAGAATACTCCGCACAGCACAGCCCAGAGGAGAGGTCTCAGAAATGCGGAGAACACCTGATACAGTGCGAACGCTACGATGCCCACAATCACGACAAACACATTGGCTGCCAACTGGTAGAACGCTTTGGTCACTTTGGTCTTGCTCAGTGCCTCTTCGCCCAGCAGTCGGCCTATCGTATAGTCAAACAACGTATCCTCGCGTGAATTCTGAAACATCATCCGTCGTCTCTGACCCATGGCGGATCTACCGGAGCGAGCTGAGAAGGCGGCGGAAGGTAGCGATACCGATGGATCGTAATCGCTAGCGCTGCCAGTAGCGGTAACACAGGCATCATTTCTTTCAAATTATCCCAAAGGCGTTTCGGGGGTGAGGCAGAAACGAGAGCCACTATTTTATTCGGAGGGTAAGACTTGGAATGGTTCAATGAGTCCAATGCTGCACTGCAGCGTAGCTGGACAGATTGCTTTTCAAAGCAAAAACAATCAACAAACAGAAACACAAACAGCGAAAACAAAAGCATTTTTCTACATCCACAAACAAATTACGTAATCTTTCGGTTTTGAAGGCCGCGCGCGTGACGCGCGTCACGTGCATGCGTAGATCTACGTGTACGTACGTACATGTACGTGTGGTTGGATTTGTCTTTCTACATACTGTAAAAGCCATTAATTTTATACTTTTAGGGAAATTTAAGGGGGCACATCACCCAAAAATTCGCTGAAAAATCGAATTTGTAAATTCATATTGAGTGCTACGTCAGTTGAAAGAGCATGAATAGCTGCAAATTCTCTGAAAACTGTGTCCCTATCTGACCAGCCGTTCAAGAGTTATGGCCGAAAATGTGCCCTTGCAAGGAAAGACTTTTTTGTTGCATGCTGTCATTTGTTGGCAGCACTGTATTTGAATGTGAGCAGACCGTGCGCAACTTGTCGTATTATGGAAACACGCGAAAGTGTGCAGAATTTTGCCCCAAGTCCAAAAAAGTCCAAAAAATCACGTTAAAAAACCACGTATTGGGCTGCACGGCGGCGGGCGAAGCCCGCCGCCGTGCAGCAGGACTTTTGCCAGCACCCTCGTGACGTTGCAGATATGTGGCTTGATTATTGTAGTTGACGTTGATTTAGTGACTTAAACTGTCTTTGGCAAGTTTGAGTCGTGTCAAGAAGTCAGGTAGGATTCAGTACTAGGCAGTAGTGAAACGTGAGTGGCAATCTTTGCCGGTTTCTGAGGGCATCCTGGATTTGGTGTGCAGCGCTGTGGAAATGGCTTGCTGTGGAGGTCCCAGCACTGGATGTTGTATCAAAGGTACGACCTCGTAGCACGTGCTAAACCTAAAAAAATTCAAAAATTGACTTGGGTCTGTGGGAGTCCGTGAAAGAACGCCCACTCGTTCCGTTGTGACAGATTCCAGGGCCACGTTGAGGGGCCCTACCCCACCACCCATGGCTGCTTCTGGACTTGTTTTAGGTTTGGGTCCCGCGCACGGACAGAATGGGCCCGAAAATGTGAAAAAAATGTAAATGCATTTGTTTGGCTCCTGGGTGGCTCGCACACCGTAGCACTATGCCGGAAATTTGAGTTTTTCCGGCCTGGAAAGCCTGTCATTGAGGCGCAAGAACTTGTAAATCATGTCCTGAGGGCCAGCATAGTGGCAGGAGTGTGTGGTCAAAATTTCACTCAAATCCACTGAGAAACACCAAAGTTACGGTCAATTGAATGCCATATGAAATTTTTGGGTGATGTGCCCCCTTAAGGCAAAAATTAAAATTTCACCAGTTGTAGTCTTCGGGGTGCTGAGTCGAATGGTCTTGGTCCGAGAAAGCTGAGACGCTCCCTTCCTACTTGAATCCCAATCGAACTCGCGCACTTCCACCGAAACTGGGTGACTGCGCCCTACTAGATGGGGATTTGTATGCAAAATGTCACTAAAAGCGCCATTTCGTTCTTATAAAAGCACGGATGACCACGATTGGCCCATATGTTGTAGTCTTTTGGACGCTAAACCGACTGGTTTTGGTCCGAAAAGGCTGCGATGCAGCGTTCCTCCTTTATTCCCAATCGAACATGGTTGAACAAGCGGTCACGTGCTCCTGCGTACACCAGTCACCTGGTCACCGTGCCTGCAGGGTACAACTTACTAGCCTGTTTGACCTTTTTTGGGAGCAGTCCTGTCACTCGAGTTGAACTCGAGTTGAACCTTGGTGTGAAAGTAATAGTTGTCGCCTGCTGGCGTGGTGACTGGTGACCAGGTGATTTGGGCACCCAGGAGCACGTGACCGCTTGTTCAACCATGTTCGATTGGGAATAAAGGAGGAACGCTGCATCGCAGCCTTTTCGGACCAAAACCAGTCGACTCAGCGTCCAAAAGATTACAACATATGGGCCAATCGCGGTCATCCGTGCTTTAATAAGAACGAAATGGCGCTTTTAGTGACATTTTGCATACAAATCCCCATCTAGTAGTGTAGCGTTGGCACGCTAGTAACTCACACAGCTGCAGCGTGAATCACTTTCAATGTATTGGTCACGCGTGTTACACCGCACCCCCGCACTTGCAACTCTGTACCGTGCTTGCAGATCCATGACATGGATAGCAACTAGTCTCACTGCGTTCAATGTTTCATATTGACCTTAGAAATACTGCTGCACTTTCAACCGCCTCTTTTACGCCCATTGCCCACACTGCTATTCAGCTCCTTCTTCTGCATAGAATCAAATGGCATTCCTTGTGCAATGACTGTAGCCCACACATCTACTTTGACCTTTCTTCTTCTCTCTGCTGAGCTTTGGCGTGACCATTGCTATTGCAGCACGTATGCTGTCTTCCTATAAAAGCTGCTGTTCACAATTCTCTACAGCTCAGTTAGAAACGCCAGTTAGAAGTACAGTTAGAAAGGCCAGTTAGAACCTTCAGTAATGTCAGTTTAGAGTTAGAGTTAATGTTTACAATGTAGTCTTCCGTTTACTTCACTAATAATAATTATTAACAGTGTGTTCACTGAGACCCGTCTGCATTTGCCTCCGAGAGAGACTGCGGCCCGCTACAGAATTAGAGCCAGCGGTGGGATTCGCTACAGTAGGGCGCAGTCACCCAGTTTCGGTGGAAGTGCGCGAGTTCGATTGGGATTCAAGTAGGAAGGGAGCGTCTCAGCTTTCTCGGACCAAGACCATTCGACTCAGCACCCCGAAGACTACAACTGGTGAAATTTTAATTTTTGCCTTAACTTCCCCTTTAAAGGGAAACAGAACGCCAAAAATAAGTATGGCTTATCCGAAGGAGAATTGGGCACTGATTCCGATGAGCTATGTCTCGAGCCGATCAGAGAAGAGGAACCGTGTCAAATTTCATAAATAACACCTTCCATATTTGGAAATTGGGCTTGATGACGTGCGTATTGCTTAGCTGTCACCAAAAAAGACTCGTCATGCTGTGCATGCTCAGCAGTGTAATTTAATGGAAGAAAACAATTACTTTGGTGTTTTGCAGCTCTATTTCGTTCCCTGACGGTACCCAAATCTAGATGTAGGAATCTGTGGAGCAGGAGAGTGACACATGTCTTCCCGAAGGCCGTCCAGCCTGCAGTGGTGATGAAAAAGACACGAATAACACCCCAAGATCGATTGTAGGCTACTAGCGAATTGAAAAACTCATGGTGAGTTTATTTGCTTCCACTCCAAGGCAATGTCGAGGTATGAAGGGTGCTTGTACTGCCTTCCAAAGTGAAGCGGAGATGAACATGGCTTTGCATAGCTGTTGTTCTACGCCAACGTACCTACTCTTGCTGGTACCGTAGTGGTATATTGCAAATTTCGTGGACGAACAATTCGAGTCACTAGTGGCTAGTGAGCAACACTAACAGGTGAGATTTTTCAATTTGACAAAAATTGTTCTTGTTTGAGAACAGACGGTGGCAGTCATTAGCCTCAGTAGGTGTCTCTCTGCGGCTTCTTTCCCTTCATCGATAGGGTTGTGCTTGAAGTCGAAATAAATAGAACATGTGGAACAAAAATCTGATCATGTAATTCGAATTTCAATTTCAAAGTATGTGTACATCAAATCACAAAAATTTCAATATGGTGCTGTGCACTGAAAAAGACTGGGAGCTGGCAGCAATGGAAAGGGTAGAAACGAAACCAGTAAAGTAGAGTATTCATAAGGTAGCGGGAGTTGAAAACGGGAGACGAGTAGTGAGCATTTCAGTTCGAAGTAGTGTCAATAGACAGCATCGTGTTGCATATGTTGTGAATATTGTGCAAATCTAATAATTGGCAGAGGGTAGTGATTAACGCAGAATATTGTTACAATACGAGGTACTTTGTGAACAGATAGCAATCAATATCACGACATGGTTTAGACAGGAATTCATAAATGTCAAGAAATTGATAATCCAAAATTATAATTATTATCCCCTGAGTAGTATAATTATTATGGTGTTCTCCTGTGTTTACATGCAGAGCCTTGACGTTGCTGGACGAGCGACAATTATTACATAAACTTGTAGCTCATAATGTGGGATGACTGCCGTATTGCATTGCCAACGCAAACCCATCCTGTGTCAGTGCAGCCATCCAGCAACTTGTACTCCCCGGACCAGATGTCGCTGCAGCTGAACACCATGCCGATGGAAAGCCAGGAGTTGATGGCGAAGCATTCTGGTCTGCACAGTACAGTGCAAAGAACAATTATGAATTATAACGCATTGTAATCCTTCCCACACGTCTTTGTAAAAACAAACAAACAGTGCCATTATCACAACACTTGATCAAGCATCTTGATGAAGGTATTTTCCATTGTGCTGGCCCAGCATCTGCACCAGGAAGACCATGTACACTTACAAGTATCTTGTGTGTGTGTGTGTGTTTGTGCGTGTGTGTGTTTGTGTATCCGTCTGTGCACACGTGTGTGTGTGGGGGGGGGGGGGTAGACGCATATTATGTATGGTAGGAGTGTATGTGTGTGGGGGGGGGGGGTCACGCACATGTGTATGGATATGCGCGCTGCATGCGTGTGTCTGTGGGATGGGGTGGGGGTGCACGCACATGTGTACATGTGCGCGCGCAATATAGAATGTGTGTATTGTGTTCGTTGAACACAGGGAGTCCTCCTGATTCCATAAACTTTATGATCATTGTGATTTCATGTGCTTTGAAGTTGAAATTCGCAATACATGTTCTGATGCTTGATTAGATTTATGTTCCACATGTTTCTTCAGAATTCCCAAACTCCATAGCAGCGCATTCCTTGCACTCGAAAACACCGCCATTCCGGCAACAGGCTCTCAGCTGCACCAAATAAATAACTTTGCCAATATTTCGCCCATTGGGCATCATCAGGGCATTGAGGAAGGGGAGGCCAAATTACGAAATATAAAGACGAATAATGCAGGCAGATGAATGTTCTAGAACTAACACATCATGGTGACACAATTGGCAAGGCCAGCAAACTAAACAATCATCACTTGTAAGGTGACCTAAACAAAACGAAAGATGAGAAAACTCACACATACACACAGACACAATTTGGCAAGAAAACTAACACTAACACTAACACTAAAGTTTACAATCATCACCTGTAAGGTGACCTAAACAGAAGAAAGAAGACTAGTAAGACTATCACAGCACGTACAAGAACACTTTCAAGTGTGGGAATGCTAAAGGCGATCTATGTATATGACAGCGGTGTATGTGCAAAAGTATGTGTATGTGCTGTGTCAGGTGGTAAAGTCCAGTGGTAGTTCGAGGAGATGGGTGTCGATTCCAGTGACGATCCGGTGACATCCAATCAGTCAATTAGGCGCCAGCCGTCATCGCAATTGACTGCTGGTTTGCGCTTCCTTATCTCGATAGCTTCAAGCAGTTTCCTTGATGGTAGCGAAGCCTCCCTGCCGAGAATCTTTGCCTGGTGGAAGGGCAGAAAGTTGGAAGACTTTAAAGATTCTCGATGCTGGGTACGATAGTGGAAGCCCCAGGGAGCCTTCGCCGCCATCGCCCTTGCCTCTCGGTAGTGCTCAGCGAATCGGTCCCTCACCGGCCGCTCGGTCTCACCAACGTACAATTCCGCACACAACGTGCAAGACATACAATAGACAACACCTTTGACTAAACACTGACTACCGGTATCCACCATACTCGCATCACATGCACGACACTCCATTGGTCGTCCTCTCCCTCTCTTCACCTCCGATCGCTGCTTCTCACGGGGACACACACGTACAGCACGCACACAACGTGCAAGACATACAATAGACAACACCTTTGACTAAACACTGACTACCGGTATCCACCATACTCGCATCACATGCACGACACTCCATTGGTCGACCTCTCCCTCTCTTCACCTCCGATCGCTGCTTCTCACGGGGACACACACGTACAGCACTCGACGATCGGACCAACATATCCTTCAAAGAAGGACCAGACACAAAGACAACACGAACATGCGGACTGAACTTTCGAACACGTCGTGAGACACGAGCGGCAAGTGAGTCGTTGATGAAGGGCAGTTTGATGACTGACTTGAATTGGTTGTGTCTGCGCTTGCTGTCACGCTGCTGTTGTTGAGACGGGTGTGTATCTTGTCTCTTCCCCTTGGCTGCTCGTCGTGCTGCGTTTATCTCGGTGCGTGGATAGTCATTTCTCTCGAGCAACTCTTCAATTATGGACATGCTCCTGTCTTCCGCTTCCGGTGTTGACGAGTTACGGATAGCTCGAGAGAATTGGTTCGTTGCAACAGCTCTTTTACACGACCAGGGGAGACATGATTCATAAGACAGGTGGACACCACTGTGGGAAGGCTTAACATAGAGCTCCCACTCTATGCTGTTTCCACGCACAGACAGCGCTAGATCCAGGAAGTTCACTGACTGAGTTTCGTTGACCGTGTGTTCCATTGTGAATTTGATAGTAGTGTGCTGTCCGTTGAAGTGATCTAGAAGTGCTGTTAAACCTTTCCAGCCATGTCTCCACAGTAGTATGCAGTCGTCGATATATCGCTTGTAGAGATCTGGCTTCACTGTAGCTGTCGAGAGGGCCTTCTGTTCAAGCGCATCCATGAAGAGGATGGCCAGCGGAGGTGCCAGATGGTTCCCCATCGCAATTCCACGCTTCTGACGGTACTGTTTACTATTGAACTCGAAGTAGTTGTTTGACAGAACATACTGCAACATCAGCTGTACATCCGCAACCGTCAATCCAAGCATGTCGACATCATCTTTATGCTGCTCTAGCTTGGTAATAGCGGCCGAAATGCTCTCATCTATAGGAATGTTCGAATAGAGGCCCACTACATCGAATGAGGCGATGATGCAGCCATCCGGGACCTGGCGATGCCTCTTGATGTCTTCAATGCAGGCTTCGGTGCTATCTAGATGAGCAGGTACGAACATAAGGACCCACATGTTCTTTTATTTAATTTTACAAGTTCAAGCACAATCCTACCAATGAAGGGAAAGAAGCAGCAGAGACACCTACTGAGTCAAAGGACTGCCACCGTCAGTTCTCAAACAAAAACAATTTTTGTCAAATTGAAAAATCTCACCTGTTAGTGTTGCTCACTAGCCACTAGTGACTCGAGTTGTTCGTCCACGAAATTTGCAATACACCACTACGGAACCAGCAAGAGTAGGTAAGTTGGCGTAGAGCAACAGCTATGCAAAGCCATGTTCATCTCCGCTTCACTTTGGAAGGCAGTACAAGCACCCTTCATACCTCGACATTGCCTTGGAGTGGAAGCAAATTTCACCATGAGTTTTCCAATTCGCTACAATCGATCTTGGGGTGATATTCGTGTCTTCTTCATCACCACTGCAGGCTGGACGGCCTTCGGGAAGACATGTGTCACTCTCCTGCTCCACAGATTCCTACATCTAGATTTGGGTACCGTCAGGGAAAGAAATAGAGCTGCAAAACACCAAAGTAATTGTTTTCTTCCATTCAATTTAGGCCTTGGCGGATAATACTCGAAAAGGTGGCAGATTCTGCTTTTTTGCACCTAAATTGGCAGAACCATACAAACCTTATGGCGGGCAGTTCCTCGAATTCTGCTCCATTTCTTTATCCACATACCAAACATGCATGAAACATACCAGAAAAAGTACCGAATTCTGCCAATTTTTCTGCCGGCATTATCCGCTAAGGCCTAATTCAATTACACTGCTGAGCATGCACAGCATGGTGACAGCTAAGCAGTACGCACTCATCAAGCCCAATTTCCAAATATGGAAGGTGTTATTTATGAAATTTGACACAGTTCCTTTTCTTTGGTCGGCTCGAGTCATAGCTCATTAGGGGTGCGCGGATTATGCTCGCACGCACCCGATATTATGCTTTCGGGCATTTCCCGCTGAACTTCGAAAGTATTCTCCCAAAACATCTAAAAAATTCTCCAGAGTTCTCCCCCCCCCCAAAAAAGAACCCCAGCACGAACCGTGCCTTGCGCATGCTCTTTAGTATGCAAAATGGACGGTCAGGCTCGTGATGAATGCATGCAGGATCTACACTACATGTACTAGATGTACATGACTGTACACAGCTACTATGTACTCAGGCTGCGTCCATGGATGCGCGCTTGTTCTCTGTTCTCTGGTCCTCTGGCAGTTCAAAATTGACAGAATTCCCCGAAAACTCTTCTGAAGGTCAATAGATCTCGCAAAAGATCGATAAAATTCCCCTAAAATTCCCAAAATTTTCTCAACGATAGTATTCCCAAATTATTCCGGGAATAATCCGCGCACCCCTATAGCTCATCGGAATCAGTGCCCAATTCTCCTTCGGATAAGCCATACTTATTTTGGCGTTCAGTTTCCCTTTAATTACCGTAGTTTCTCTAATAAGAGCCCGGGGTCCTTTATTTTCAGTTACAGCTCTACCCGCGCTACTATTAGAGACTGGGCTCTTACCGTAAAATTCAAATTCCGTTAATAAGCCCCGGGCGTATACTTTGCAGAGCGTTAAAAACCGGGCGTATATTTGAGCATGGGCGTTATCATGGTTATTTAGGACGCAACATCAGTGTCTGCAGAAGATCAATCTATCAGCAACCCACTAGTTTCAGTGAACCACCATCCACACTGAGCGCGGTACAGGTACATCAAACCACAGCTGGAAATTTGGTCGTAACCAAGAATGTAGCGATAAATTACAGATTTGATAGGTAAAGCACTTGCTATGGTAAGCATGGTAAGTACAAGGTAGAACAGGTACCGGCACTGTGATGCGTGCAGTTGGATGACACTAGGCCTCCGTGTAATATGCCGGCCTTTTTTGGAGCATTTTCGGTACAATCCGCGAACCCAGCACTTTGGGCTCGTGATGCAGCATTTTGGGGGAAACGGAGCACTTGGCCGTTGTGTATCAAAATAATTGAGAGAAGAAAAACTTCCCAAACAAGAACGTCACTTCCGCATTCTGTGGGTTAGCTTCTTGTTGAGTAGTTTATGAATTGAAAATATGGTTTTGACCAGGGAGTAGGGTCCAGCGGATAATGCCGGCATTATATTCGGCATTATGAGACTCTCCGAGCATCAGAGCATTATGGGGCATTAAAAGGGAACAAGACGAGCTTTATGTGAGGTATAACGAGTTTCATAGTGGATAATGTCGAGAAATCTCAGGTTTTTGGCAACAATCGGCTACCGCCATGAGGTGCAACGCCATGTATTGTACCGGCACATGACTTTGTGTAGACAGTAGACTCGAAACACCTTTAGCACAAATGCTACATTTACCGGACTGCATCATGCCATTGCTACATAAAGCCTGTTAAAGGCTTTATGTAGCAATGCTGTGTAGTCAGGTAAATGTACATGACTTTGTGGTGTAGCATGCCCAACTAAACGTTGCAACTGAGGCTGTTACACAAAATCCGTAACGATGATTCACGAGGAGTTCTTTTTTAGAAATCATGGAGAGCCATGCATGGAGGAGACTATTATAAACGTACGCGAAGTGAATATCAAACAGACGAAGAGGAGTTTTCCTCCAAAATGTGTTATGCCGTAGACTCTTGGTCATAGCATCTCTAGTGATACTGAAGTAAACACTGATCCATTGATAAATTTGGACCTGGATGAAGGAGCGGCTATAAACAGAAAGAGTTTTTTCCAAATATCTACCTCGAAAAGAACTGGAATTTCTCATGGCCGCAGTACCAAGTCGATTTGAGTGCTCAGCAGCGCATGTCTTACTTTCCTGGTGAAGCACGTACAGTTTTTTTTTGAATTTTTTCAAGTTAGTTTAGAATTTTTCGCTCTGTAGCTACTCCCCTCCACGCCCATCCTGTGATGAACATGGAAGGGCCAAAGGACATGCCCTTTTCCACAGGTTCAAGGGCTAGTATAGGTGGAGTTTCTGGAGTTTGCGGGGACCACCTGCGCCTGGTGGACTGTTTGCCCAGATTTGAAAGTACACTGAAAAATATTCTCAAGCTAGTCACGCAAGAAGTGAGTGCCTCACTTGATAGAGAAGCTTATCTGCTGAGGAAAATCAAAGACCTGAGTTCCCAGCTTCAAGCGCTGCAGTCGCAGTTTGAACTCCTCCAGCGCCCACAACCTGACTGTGAGAAAGCTCAGGATCCTGATACTCAGGCCGAAAATCTGAAAATTCATAAAATAAGAAAAAAATGCAGAAAAACAAAAAAGAGAACCAGCCTTCCCAAGAAGTCCAAACCCATCAAGTGGAAGACAAGCCCAAGCCCACCGATTCCCCCCAGCGACCCCCAGTCATCGGTACCAGTTCCACCACTCTGTGACACTGACGGGCTCTGGGAACTGGTTACAAAGATCCCACCCAGCGAAGGAAAGCGACGAGCGGTCCTCTGGATTGGAAACCTGAGAGACGACATAACTGAGGAAACACTGACTGCTTACCTGTCCACACGTGTGGATCAACTCGGCCTCAAGGGGTTTACACTACCTAACTGCAAGCTGTTCATCAAGCTGGGTAAAGTCCGTGCTCGGATCACCGTCAACGCAGCTGATGCGCCAACGGTTACTGGCCCTACATTCTGGCCACGTCCAACCTATGCTCGACCTTGGGTGTTTCAACAGAACCCCCGGCGCTCCCAGGGCAATGACAAGAATCCCCGCGGCAACAGCAAGGATGACAGCAACACACAACAGGGTCACCCCACCAGCAACTTGGCCTCTGAGGGATCCCTGGCAACAACAACCACCTCTGACGGACCAAACAGCACGGAGGATGAGGAAGGTTCCCAGACTGAAACCACTTCAGCTGAGACCTCACTTCCATCTGTCACTCCAAGCAAGGCACCGAGCCTCAAGAGGGACAGGGACGACGACTCCCCTCACAGTGCAGCTCCTGATCACAAGAAGAGTGCCCCAGCCTCCTCACAATGACCGCCTCAACTGCTCTGAGCCTCAACATCGGATTTTTGAATATCTGTAGCCTGCGCTACAAGCTGCATGCACTGGACGGCCTTGCCCACCAGCACAACTGGGACGTCATTGGCATTGCCGAGACCTGGCTGGATAGTACAATCTCGGATGGCGAAATTTGTATTCCCGGCTACAGTGTTGTTGGCTGTGACCGGCCCGACCGCCAGGGTGGGGGCACATGCCTCTACTACAGGACATCACTTCCAGTTACCTATCGTTTGGATCTGCATAATAGCCACCTGGAGGCTACCTGGATAGCTTTTGGCGGAGGGCAACGCCGCCACCTCGTTGGCTGCCTCTATCGCCCACCGAATGCAACTGCTGATTTCTGGGGCCACCTGGACTCAGTCCTCCACAATGCTGCCACAATCACACCATCAATGACACTGGTGGGTGACTTCAATATCAATCTTGCTCAAGGCATGACCATTCGTTCTCACCAGCGCTTCTTGGACCTTATCGGATCATATGGGCTCCATAACTACGTCCAGTCTGCCACCCGAGTCACACCCCGATGTCCGGATGGAACACTGCTGGATTTAGTGCTCTCCACCATGGGTACTATAAGTCACTGCAAAGTTGTACCCTGCACGATCAGCGATCACTTTCTTGTGCATGCAAGTCTGTCTCTACCCTCCTCGCAACACCCACTGCAGCGGAAATTAGTCACCCCCAAGAACCAAGTTCGATTGGTCCACACCATCGACATTGAGTCTTTTCGCGAAGACATTGCTGCATCAGACTTGGGTGAGTTCCATCCCCAATCCGCGATAGATGAGATGTGGGCACATTGGCACACCCAGTTTATGGCCGTCCTGGATAGGCATGCGCGAATGGTACAGACTCACCGGCGCTCCCATCCCACCCAGCCATGGTCAGACAGAGAACTATACCAATTACACCAGCGCAACAACACGGCTCCATAGGCGATGGCTCCGCAACAAAGCAGATACTGCCCTTTATGCGCAGTTCAAGCAAGCTAGGTCGGACGC